GTCTCTTAAGCAAACACGTCTTTGGAAGACACACGTCAACCGGAAGTGAGTCCTTTTCCCTTTTAATATGCCTTGACGCTAACAAATTTGTATTCCTACGTATCTTTTCTCTCACAGAGTCAATTTGCCCAAACATTTGGTCAAAATCACGCCCCAAGATTGCAAAAAAGTCAACTTCCGGTTGACGTGCGTATCGTTGTTTAAACTCCCTATTTTTGAACTCCGATTCGATTCGGAATGGTGCATGTAGATAAAGAACACCCCTAAGATGTGATAGCACTAAATCCTGTTTACATTTCAGACCTCTCCTGAACTTTCCATGAGCAAACTGTTCAGTCATAGGCGTATTTTTCCTAAAAAGTAATATGAAAGTTCAATTAATTTGATCAACAGAAAAGATCCCTTATAAGTTCAATTACTGCTCTTCCAACTTCTGTCATTTTCCAGCAATAAACAATCGGGTTTAAAGTTGACTTCAGATAAACAAGCGTCGCCGTAAACGACCTAGCCAGAAAGATCGATGAAGACAGTCCTCTTTGTGTGAAAGCCTCCACTATACCATGTGGAAGGTAACACACAAGTAAAGTGATTTGAGCCCACAACGTAACAAACACTGCCTTCTTGTAGCGTACTATGTTCATAGGAATTGCTTGACTCTGTTGTTGCTGATTAACGTGATCTTGTGCTCTTACGCGGTGATGGCGCAGGGTAAGAAAAATTTTGGAATACGCAAAAAGTGAGGTGCAAAGACACAGTGAAATAGCCACGGAAGAGATCCAAGAGGTTATGACATAATTCCAAAAGTAAAAGGTCGTGCTAACAATAGACACAGCCCAAGAAATTGCTATCGTTAGACCGGTCCGCTTCAAAGTTACAACTTGTCGGTACTTTAGCCCCAGCAACAGTGCGAGAAGCCTGTCCACACTTATGGTAGTCAAAGTAAACAAAGATGTCGAGCCTAAGATATAGCCTGTTATATGAGTTGCAATCAATGCGAAGCGACAAATATCCCAACGTTTATTCACTACAGACAACCAGCAAATTGCAATGACAGGTTCTGCAATGATACCAGCACAGAAGTCGGCTATGGCTAGGTTCCGAAACATAATTTTAGACGGAGGATGTAGAGAGGACTCTTTCCGTAGCACAGCTAGGATCAAGGAGTTTCCAAGCAACGCAGTGATAGAAAGAAATATGTTAAGCGCCGCAAGAAATATTAGTTGGTTTTTAATCCCCGCAGTTGATTCTGGCAAGCAAAACAAGTCTGCGTAAAGAATTTCTTTGTTTCCATCGTGGGTTAAGTTGTTTTTCCCCATCAGTTGCAGCAGCGCGCCAAGCGTGCGAAAATGTCCACGAAATAAGGCTCAACGTACCGCGGCGGTTGATGGCGTGTGCCTTGTGAACTTTTTTTTTATCAACAGCTGTTGAAAAAATAACCAAAAAATTTTAAAACGTTCCATAATGAGGACTCGAGAAAACTGAATCATCGACTGATAAGATTAACTCAAATAGTTAATAAGAAATGACTTAAAGCAAATATCGCAAGCGAATGGTAAATCAAACAGACACTGAATTTATAAAAAGATATGAATTATATTCTATAATCATATATCAAATGTCTTTGATATGAGACAGCGTCGAGCGACCTACCATGCCTTTAATGCGAACAACCCGCGTTTCATTTCCGTAGTGCATGACAACATGGTGGATTTTTCCTATCTAGATTACACATGGTATAGTTACTAGGATCCAAACGGTTCGCCTTCTGCTATTAGAAATTAAATTTCAATTATGCGTTTCCTTTTGAGCTTGATCTCACCAGCTCTGTGTCATTAGCGGCTGCGAAATGTAAATAGCTTCCATTCAATGTTCTTTTCTTTCAATTTATTAAACGTATAGACGCGCGAGGTATACAGTGAAAAAAAAAAATTGTCAGTGTAGGCTACGACTTAAAGCATTGGTAAAACGCTCTTTTAGATTTCAAAAAGGAGCACAATTTTAAGACGAAAATATTCCATTTAATTTCCAGTTCTTTTTGCGACTTGGTTTATTGCATTGTCTATCATACTCGGCCCCAGTATTTACGCTTTTGACTTCAAGCGTATGCGCAAAGCTTAAGAGTTTTGGGGTCGACATTGATTATATTAGGTGAGAAGTGCGAATAGAAGGACTTATATGCATACAGACTATGAAGTGTTGTTACACCTTTTAAAAAGCTCTAAAAAGCTGTTATTGAATTCATCGACTGTAAATAAGTGATCAAGAGTCTCCTCGGCAAGACTGATGTATTAAATTTTCCGGGATAAATTTTGCTCCGAGGATAGACCTTAACTAAGTTAAAAGGCAAGCTCTTTGCCCTAAGCGTTGACAGATCAGTTATTAGCTTCATCGATATTATTTCGGTACTCATACGAAAACATCTATAACGTGATTTGTTGTTTTATCAGAACAAAGTATCAGGTCAAATATAGCGTCTAAACGTCAGAAAAAAATAAAAGAAGCCTGAAACTGCAATAAGCTTAAAAGTCTCTTGCCATTTAATAACAACACCACAAACCAAATTCGACCGAAGACTTATTGGTAACGGACGTCCTTAGTACTTGAAATAAAATGCGTGGTATGAAACAGTGTGGATACAAACAGCGTGGGTTGAAACTAAACCCGAAGAGCAAAACTGGTCTTACAAGAAGCGACTAAGGAAAATCAGAATAAGGGAATTTAAAAAAATGCAAAAAGCGAGGACTGTGAAATACACTTACATTGTTTTGGCAAGAGAAAACTGCTGTGAAGGAGACTGCGGATACCGCGAAGAGACTTGCAAGAAACCAAACATAACTACGCTTAGCACGGACGAAAATGAACTGAACCAACTGTACCGCAGAACCACGGTATAAATTACGGTAGAATATTTTGAATATGAGGAAAAGCAAACTAACGAAACTGAAAAAAGGCGCTAATAAAGATGAAAATTTTGATAAACGCTAACGAGGTGGTGAAAAATAACACAAAGAACTAAACACCAAAACTTGCGCAAAGAAACTAAACAAAGGGCGACAAAAACTATTAGTTTAATTAATTTTAAAAAGTTACACTTGGACTTACAGAGCCCTTATATTGATTTTTGTTTTCATTAACTCAGTCATAGTTTTTTGTCTTTCTTCCCAACTTTTAGCATGAAACCTTGTTTTTTTTCTGCTCACATCTCTTTCCGATATCCCCACGATCTGAAAGCCCGGAATAGGCTATTTTGGTAAGGACTTTTGTTGGTATATCCGTCGCAGAACATGTACAATGTATTCGCCGAGCGTTTATGTAAACGCAACTTAGAGCCACTTGTAAGCACAGTTTCCTTTATACAAATGACTTGTTCGGCAGAAGAAATTTCAGATAAATCTCCTTAATACGGACACCAAAGGGACAGAGCCAAGTGTCTCTCAGAGGTGTCTGTATTACAGTCAAACCTCTTTAATACAGATGCCAAAGGGACAGAGACAAATGTCTGCACTACAGAGGTGTCTGTATTACTGTCAAACCTCCTAATTCTAATACCAAAGGGACAGAGACAAGTGTCTGCACTACAGAGATGTTTGTATTACAGTCAAACATCCTTAATGGGCCTTTATCACACGGTGGCCATGTTGTCCTGAGAGACTGAAAAAGCTTCGTTTTACCACCCTGTGAAAACCTTGTCTCTGGGGACAACATAGCCTGCGCGCAGACGAAATTAAACTCTGGTTAACTCCGTCTGCGAAACAGCGCAGAAATCCTTGTTCTGGACTTCCAGCTGTGTACCCAGATTTGAGTACGCGCCACCATTGGCCAGTTAAAAAAGGCCTTTGTTTTGTTTGTCGTGATCGCCAATCAGGTTGAAGGGAAATTCGAAACGCACTTCCGGTAATTCGTTGAGTCCGTTGGGGGTTCAGAACAAGGATCTCTGCGCTGATTCGCAGACGGTACTAATCAGAGTTTAGTTATCGTCTGCACGCAGGCTAGGGACAACATGGCCACCGTGTGATTAAGGCCCGTGTGGTAACCAAAGCGTCTCGGTGGGTCATAGAGCTGTCTCCTCCCCGGTCATCTTCGTAATGCGCACTGTAGCGGGTGCAGGAGTTGCTAGGAAGGAAGAAGAAGAGAAGACTCTATCCATTTTCCATTCTCAATATTTCTCGCTTTATTCCTTCCTACCAACCCCTGCTCGCGTCATTGCCCGACTACGTAGAGGGGAGAGAGGACTGGGCAAAAGTCAGAGTCGTAGAGCATTAAGTTTCTTTATGGAGAGGAGAAATCGTTGCCGGTTGCAGTGGTAGCAAAATTTCTGGATCTCAACAAACCGTTGTCCTGCAAATATGGCTGCAAAAAACGAAAAAATTGACATAAATGACTTTCCTCTGCATGATTGCTCTCAGGAACAAAACGGTAGTCCATACTTCTCTTCCATCGTTCGACTATGCAAATGACCATCTCTGTCAAGAAAGGTTGTTGAGATCCAGAAATTTTGCTACCACGGTAACGCGACGTCACAATTGTCTAATGTGAGGTTTGCTGGTTATAAGATTATTCATGATTGCCCTGGCCATTTTTATACCCTTTTGAAAGAGAGCCTGATTCTTTCTTTAAAAAATTCATTAATGATTATGAACACATATAGCTGAGTATACGCTCTATTCTGAACAGTTGAATGAAAGAGCATTAACAAATAAGCCATTTCTAAGTTTCTAGAAGCCTTTCTTTCTTCAAATTTACCACAAATTTTGGTAAACAACCGATATAAAACAAGCGACGTTGTGTTCATGTCATTCCTAGATACTTTACAGCCGCTCTCCGAGGTTGGCTGCGTCTTGTTTGTACCCCCCCCCCCTCCAACATTGTCTGGATTCCCCCTGGGGGATAAACTTATTCATCTAGTCAGAAGCCAAACATTACTTGAAAAAACTGTCCAACTTAGTCATCTGAAGTTGTAAGCTTATGTGCTTAAAGGATAAGCAAGGAATAAAAGCTACGCCACGTTTCCGACTGCTTTATTCCGAAAATCCAATCTCTCACTTACTAGTAAAGACATGATGTCCAGGTAACTCTCAAAAACTTCACTCAAAAGTATTATATTACTATTATTTCACCACCTGGGTGACTGCACACCGGAACTATAACGTTTTTACATTCTTAAAACAAAAATACGAATTTTCAAAACTGATCTGTGAACTTTCTTCTCTTATGCCCCTTGATCGATGTGATTCTTTTACAAGGTTAAATGTGACTTTCAGACCTTTTAGGTTTTTGTTCGTTTTCTGTTTGTTTGTTTGCAGTTTTGTTTGTTTTTTTAAAAATATGTTTTCAAGGTCCCCATGATTAAATATTATGAAACAAAGGGTGTCCTCAACCAAGATATGTTTCCCGCTTTCTTAGCTTTTTTGAATCCTCATTCTCAAAGGGATCTCCATTCGCTGTTTTTATATCATGTTATATGGGACTCAAATCAAGGTCAAAGAAAAATCAAACTCTTGTTCTACAACCAAGAAAAGTTCGACTTAGTTCAAACGTCGACTGACTTTTCATGTACCGAACTTATTTCTTATTTGGCCGATCTCGACGGTTGATGCAGACGGGCAATACGTCGGACTAAATTCATTTTCACGATGTACAATGGTCTACAAGGCTTACCAATTAAAATAAATTAAAATAATTCACGCATTAGATTCGGCACACGAAAAGTTCGACGTCTGATACCAAGTCGCTCCATGGTGGGATTCCTATGCTTAATTCACGCGTCGACCCAAATTAGACATATCGGACCTAGGTTGCGGCGTGAAAGAAAACAAGCAGTACAACTGAGAATATTCCTTCAAACACTGGCGTATTTAACTGAAATTTCCAAGGTATCATGTTATGTCTTCCTCTGATTCGTCATCATTTTTACCCAGCGCAAATTCAGTTACGCTGGGAAGTTTCGCCAGCTTTTTCTTTAGTTGGACTTCCAATCTATGAAGATATTTCTTCTTCCATTCAATAGTTTCTTGCGCCACTCTTTCTTCGGTATGTTTTATTTTCTTCAACAGTTCATCTCGCTGCTGTATGTTTTTCAGCTCGGCTTTGTTATACATGTATAGTTCCAGATGATCTTTTTCTTTATCCGCAATTTCACAGCCGTCTGTTTGACTGGGATCCGAATCATGATTCAGGTTTGGATTTGTTTCTTCGGCCATTTCATCAACACCTTTGTCCTTATATTCTGGGGTATCTGCTCTGTTCGGCCCGTTTGGGTAAGATTGTAAGAGTCTTTTCAGTGTCGAGTCACTTGTGTACTCCTGTAGCTGGGGGACCTGCTTTCCTTTATCTTCTTCTTCCTCCAGAATAATTGCTTTTGGGGGGTAAGAACGCTGATTTGCAGTTGGATTGGCTATTTCAACACTGTCGCTCGGGGCAGTGCAAATCTGCGGACAAGACTTGGACCTTTCTTTACTGACAACTTCAGAATCACCATTCCTTTCAGCCGCGTTTTCATTAGGCACTCTTTTCGGGGTTTCATATATAATCTCAACGATATCATCATCATCATCATCATCATAAACACCCGGCTTAGAATCATTTGTTGCACTCTGGGACAGATTTTTAACTGCGTGTCTCCGCTGACCATGGGTGTCTACAGGAACCTTTGTCGGCTGAGTTTGAGAACCCTGTCTCGCAGAAGTGTTTATCATTATCTCAACAACGTCATCTGTGTCCAAGTTGTTTTCTCGTGAAGAATAACTGGAATTCTGTTGACCACTCATTTGTGTAAGCACACCAGTTCTTTTACTAGGTGGGTTTGTTGTTGGAAATATATCTTTTAGTGTGTTGTGGGCGACACAGCGTTTGTCAATTTTTGGATTCGAGAAAGTGCTTTGGTTCCGATTGTCAATCTTTGGAGTTGAGAAAGTGCTTCGGTCAAGTATGTTGTGAGCAACACACCGTTTGTCAAGTTTTGGAGTTGCGAAAGAACTTTGGTCAGACATCTGACGCATAGAACTTTGAAAACTAGAGAAAGACTTAGAGTGAGTATCCGACAGATCACTCGAATGAGATTGATTAACTGTGCTGACGTTCATGGTTTGTCTCACAGTCGGCCTAGGCAATCTCTGACCCAGAATACTTGAAAAACGCTCTTCATCTATAACCGAATCAGTCGCATCGACGTAAATGGAGCGCTCCGGATCAATGACCAATGCAGTTGCAGATTGTTTTGGAGTGACATTTTCACCAACCATGGATCGGCTTATCACACCGTAGGAAACTTGTGAAATGACAGGCGCTGATCTCGAAACGTTTTGTATCGACGAGTTCACGGTGGAAGCGGTGGTATTTGGAGTTGGTATGCCTGGAACACTAACAGTAATACCAGTCAATACTTTGTCTACTTGCGAAGGATCGTTTACTAAAGAAATGTGTCGTTGAGGTCGTCCCTGCCAAGAATCAACGGTTTCCAATATTCCATTGCTTGAACGAGCTCCATCATTCATCTGTAATCCACCGTACATTGGATTTGTCACGCGACCTTGTGCGTGAGGACGAGGTTGCGTGTTTATCAACCCACTGTTTTTACTTTCCAGTTGATACACAGGAATCCACTGACCGGCATTGTGGATTCCCATTGTTCGCACTAAAGAAGGCACATTTCTACTACCACTGTGATGTCTTTCATTATCATCTGCTGTTGAACAAGTGTCTGTCTGATAAATATTTGGTGTTACTTGACAACGAGCACTAGCGTTTACTCTTCCTGAGACAGACCCATTCACAGTCGTTCTATAGTGTGCATGCCTCGCATTACCAACCTCAGATCCTCTATTTGCTGAGACACTAGTTGACGACTGTTCATTGCCCGAGGCCAGTCGCTGAGCAATGTAGTTCATTAACTTAGTCCTATTTATGATCCTTTGCTTGTCCTCTCTTGATAAAGCAACATAATGATATCTCTTGTCACTGCTTTCATCGTTAGTTACTTTGTATGTGTAACCTTGGGAGGCTCTGTCGCTGGCCATGTCATTGCTGTATCTTCTCTGCGCTGTGGTAACTGCAATCGGCTCTTCACTTGGCAAATTCCTCTCAACCATGCCCACTTGTTTTCGCTTAAAAACCAACTGATGATCTCTCGAGCGACTGGATGAGGAAAGTGGATCCCTCTGAGTTGAGAAAACGTTGTTATGAACAGCAGCGGAAGACTGGACTGAGTCACTAGCATTTACGTAACGTCTAACTGGCTGCGATATCACGCCTGACATTGGGTGAAAACGCCGCTGATCTGGAGTTACCATCTCCGCTACGATTGCACCTACGTCTCTTTGCCTTCGTTCGGCTTCTTGTGATTGTTGTCCTTTCCCTAAGTTTGAGGTGTCATTTCGTGTAACTCTTGCTGCTGGTAGTTCACACATATCATGCTTTGAGCTACATTCCCGCTCTAGTGTAACTCTAGGAATTCTTTGAAAACTTCGTTGCCTAACAGAATTTCCAGACAGGTGCTTTCTGACCAGAACTGGTGTAATGGTAACGGGCGACGTTCTAGAATGATTTAAGGCCAGCCCGCGCTGCAAAAAAGTGTTTCCTGGTTGCTCTAAAGCACTCGGTAAACCATTTCTTTTGGTATCCCTTTGTTCACTTAAAACACTTTGACTGGTGACTGCTGCTTCTTCCTGGAACCCTGCCTCCACCTTTTCTGGGAGTCTGGCTAAAATCGAAGTCTTACCACTGCTGTTCGTGTGGATCAGGTACGACTCTCCTTTATGCTCGTAACGCCGCACTGAAAACACTTCCCCATCTACTACTAGAAACATATCACTCTGACCATCTTTTTGTCTGAACGTAAACAGAAGATCATGCTGTTTTCGCCAGGGCGAGTCAAGACGAGTGTCCAGTAGCTTTGAATCTATACGCGACGAGGCTGCGCTAGTATCTGCGCGACTAATCTTATTTATCTCTAGTGGGCCGCTACCGGTTATGTCCTCGTCCTGTTTCTCAAATGGCGAATAAAACTCACTTATTTGTGGCAAGTCACAAGAAGATTCCTGTTGTGTCGAAACTGATGTCGTAGTAGCTGATGACGACGATGCAGAGTGCACCTCAATCAATTTAGGAAAGAAATTGTGATCAAAAGCAAAACCGTTACTTCCTCTAGAGTCTGAATCTTTAAGCGTTCTTAGAATTGGCCTTTTGGGTTCATAATTAACTTGGTTCATGGCAGAGTAAACAGCCATTATTTCTCTCCTCTTATCACTTGGATGAGGAAAAGGTTCGCTAGTTTCTTTCGTATTTTCTGCAATCAATTCGTCTTCGTCTTCATCGTCAAGCACAACTATAACATCATGTTGATCAAGTGGCCTGTCATTTGCTTTCTCAAAGTTTTGCTTCTCATTATTCGAGTTAGAGAGATCGGAACTATCACTTCCAAGCTCAAGCGAATCAGCAACTTCACAAACGATTTTTTGCAGGTTTTCTTTGTACAAACCTGAATCATCTATTTCTTGTTTGATACGTTTGGGCGTTGCCACCTCCTCTTGATTGTCAGTAGAGCGACGCTTTGCGGGACACTGTCCCAGGGTAGATTCACGGTGAGGTGTTTTTTCTCTTGCATTTAGCTCTCGTTTCTCTATACACATAGCGCGGTCTCCTTCGTATTGGCCAGCACTCTTCAAAAACAAAGAAGAAGTATTCCCTTCACTGCACTCTGGATCCATAGCCCTCAGCTACCTCGCGAAAGACATTCCGCCGAGGTTAGCTTCAGCTGATGTTTCGACATACACTAGGAGGTTTGGTCATTCAGGGAAGTACACACGCTAGCCCTGCGAACAACAAAAGAATACAAATTTTTAGTTTTTCAAAGGAAAACGAGTTTTCGTCTGTGGACTCTGACGGTAACTGTACACCTACCTCTGGGGTGCTTACCATTTGACAGAAAATTTCGGAAATTCTGGATGGAAGGTAAATGGTAAGGTCACTTTTCGGAAATTCCAACCGAAAATTGAGGAGTACGTTTCGAGGTAGTCCTTTCATTCCGGTTGGTACGAACCAAACGGAATGTTGCTTACCATTAACCAATTTCTCGGTTTCTTCCCGATTCCAGACTCACGCTACAAAAATTCGCCCTGTTTTTGGATTCAAACCGTAACGGATTTTTCTTCTGTCAAATGGTAAGCACCCCTGTATTACCGACAAGGGAAGCGGATGGTGTCAGTTACATTAGAGAGATTAAAATCGCGTTTGCGGCAAACATGAATTTGTACCACGTGACCAAGTTTTCCATTTACTTATCGTTTACTGTCCATTATAACTGCACGAACAGCGGTAGATTAACGCCATTTCTCTCCATAACAATTGTTTTAAGCTGTTTTTATCTGCTCATTTCTCATTTTGAAAATTTCTCAATTTGAATCTCACGTTTGCCGTTTGCCGTCAACGCGATGCTTAATCTCTCTATTATCTAGACTAGACCGCAAGCAGCCTTCACGTTTGTCGGGAAAGTGAGCATATTAAAATATGTGAATTCCCCTCAGTCCTGCAAAGCCTCGACTCGACTAACTGAAAATACAGCAATTTGAACTTCCTAGTTTTCACAGTGCGTGACACCAAAATAGGAATGCTGTCTCGTTGAAAAAAAGTCTCTCCTCTTTCTTTTATAGAAAAAGTGAACTCCAGGTGTTTTTGTTGATTTTCGGCGGCCATATATATTGGTGCACCAAAACGGTGCACCAATATGGCGTCTCCATACAAATCTCTACAAAAGTGCGTGACACGTTTCGGCAAATAACTCAGAAAATGTGGGCCACAGAGGCCCCAGACTTGGACAAATTGTTTAAAAATTACTCTTTTATAACATTTCATTTGCTTGGCTTCGTCTACTGGACGGTTTCCAGTTTATTTTTTTGTTGCGTGACAGTGAAAACGATCTATATTTACTCTGGGGTAAATTTTGGCGGGAAAATGTTTATTTGCGGTTATTTTTGCGAATCGCTGGAAAAATCGCAAAAATTAGCTCGCAAAAATTTCGTGCCACACGGTAATCTCTTTATTTATTCTCGCTACCTTTCTTTTTGATCATGTATTGATTTTTTTAGGACAAAATTTATGTTGGTCGATCTTTGGACTAAAAGGTGTGACGATAGGTTTTGACCTTCCAAGCACAAATTTGGGAAATAACCCTTAAGAGAATTCGAGCGACTTCGGCTTATGAACAACAAGGGGAAAAACTAACTCTACAACTCGCTTGGCTAGCAAGACTGGAACTCGTCACTGTTCCACGGTACTAGGATCTACTACAACTGGAAAACAGGACAGCACTCAAACTTGGACTTCAACAGTTTAATCTTCGGCTCTTGAACGTAAATCATACAGGCATGTGCATCCAAACAGGGGCACCCAACGAGAATAAAGTTCAAAACCACTCAAATATGGCATTGTTAAACGTTTTATCCCCTAAAAATTTTTCATCTGTTCGGATTTCCTAGCGGAGAGTCTAGTGATCCGAAAATTATAGAGATCAAAACTTACCTTTTCGAAAATTTCAGCCAGAAAAAAAGGCTCCCGAAAATTCTGGGTGACCTTTTTAGGGTAAAAATCCGTTAAAAATGGGCACTGAATTATACAGTTTTAGATGTTCGAAAATCTTAGGAGAGGCAGGCTAGAAATAAATTTTAGAACAAATGTTCCAAAAATTCTAGATCTCAAATCGTCTTCCGAACAGATATTTTCCGAAAATTGACGTTGGGTGCCCCTGATCCAAATTAAAGTGTAAATCATCCATGAAAATCCGCAATGTAAATCAAAAAACAGGGATAACACAGCTCTATTTATACTAACCGATCTTACAACATTACAAGACAAATGGAAAGAAGGCTGAATAAAATCAGCTGAAAACTGAAAACAAATCTGGATAAATTCAGCTTTAAAGTTTATATGCTAAACTAAATGACTCAAAATTAAATGTCAGTCAATGAAATGAATTTTGGAAACTACAAAGATTCGGCAGTAAAGCTGTACAAAAGAATTCAAGCTTCCTTTGTTCAGGGTTCCTTAAAATGACAAAATAAAAACTACGAACGGTTGGTATTTGAACAGGCGAAAGATCCACTTATTCAGTGACCAGTGTTCAGTGACTAAGCTGTATAATTATTCAGAAACTAATTATCCTTTAAAAAAGTCAACATTGAAGTGAAATGTGTATAATTTAAAAGAACTAAAACATCTCAATGCAAATTCAATGTAAACTACGGCTAAAACAACTTCAAGGGGAATATTTAAAAGCTAGATATTAATTCGAGGCAAATAAAGAATACATGGGAGGGAAATCTCTCCTTACACAGGGTTTAAGTCGGTTGTTAGGATGAACTTTACCCTGCGAGCGAGCTCTCCACTTAGGGAGAGTCACGAGAAGACACGCGAAATAAGACGCGAGTGCGAGGGGCCCTCGCTCGCGCGTTCTCTCGCAGCTTACAGGCAAGGTGAACAGACCCTTTGTAAGAGTAATACAGAACTACTTATTAGAACGACGTCTTCATCTATCAGGGTTATATAACTAGTAATAGTTGACACTACAGCTGCCCCCGTTCTGTATATTGTCGGTCAATAGTATTCTTGCTGGTTGTGTAGCTCTTTGAAATATACCGATTCATAATGAAGATTTTCACACATATTCCATACAATAGAGGAATATAATAAATACAGGAAACGCAAGGTTCCATGCACAGTTTCAGCTCGACTTACACAGCTTTGATTAAAACATTCTCAGTTTCGAGAATAGTTTATTCTAAACCATAAGAAAAATTTAATTAGAAGTTGAATTGTTCGCTATTTCTCTTTCCCTTTTTACATTCAGTTCATTTTAATTGCCGGAAAGTAAACCTTAGAAATAAAAAGGACGTTTGATTTTCACGCTAGCGCATTCTAGTCCTATTTGAAACTTTATAACGGAAGGACATCTGTGAGCAGGGAATAAGTCAGCACAAAATTTGATTGTCGGCGAATTTCTGTAAATGTCCATCAATATGCTAGTGATAAGCTAGCCGTTGTTCACTCGTCTTGCTTGTTTGGGGCTGAGTCTCATTCTGGTCAAAGAAAGAGAAAGAGTGTCTGGCAAGGTTTCCAATATAAATCAAAGATTTGTGAACTCGTGTCTGGCAAACTCTCCAAGTGTTTATGTATACCGGGATGTATACACAGTTAAACGCACCTTATAACCTCCCCTGCGCTTAACGAGTGTCTTTTGGTCCATAACTTTCAAAACAACTGCTCCACAGAATGTCACTGCGTAACGCAAAAGAGTATCGAAGTATGACTGCACAATAAATGTCACAAAATCTACCTGAGCGGTCCCTTCGGGATTTTCTGTCTTTACGTCATCCTAACCATTTCGAATTGCGGGCGCAAACAATAGAAACGTCATCATTACCTACCGATTCCTCGCGGTCCCAGTTCGAGCAAATCGAGATTTTTTCTAGTATACTGACTGTATATTTGAACTTAAAGTACTGTCCTTAATATACGCGCGAGTTACTAGGGTGCCTCCTCGGGATTTCGCCTCTGGGCGAAATCCGTGCGGGGGCAATAATCTTGATTGCACTTGCTTGGAATTGCAAAAATTAATTCCCGGAGATAAAATCCAAACTAAACCAATCGCAAACCCTTCCCGGGACAACGATTAGTCTGGTCATGTGCTAGCCTTCTGTTAGACGTCTTTTACTTCCATAATCCCTCACGCCTGTATGCGAGGGAAAAAGACAGAGACATTTTACTTAGCCTGCGTAGCTGGTGGGATTAGCAGGCGATTCCTGTAGTTTTTTCGGCGGCGGAGCTGCGTGAAGATTTGGAGCAAGTCAAAAGATCCCCGGGAACAACAACACCGCCAGCTACGCGGTACTCCGAACGCCTGGTGGCTCAAAACCTAACTCCTTTAGGGACGGACCATTAGAAAAGTTATGGTGGGGGGGCGAATTTTCGAGCCGCAGGAATTTTTTTTCCTTATTAAATTCCTTGTATGAATATTTTTTAGGCCATAGCATGAATATTTTTTAGGATTAATTGGCGTGCAAGAATTTTTTTCATTTAATTTTCCCTTGCGCGAATATTTTTTTTTGTACTTGCCCCCCCACCTCTCATAACTTTTCTAATGGTCCGTCCCTTACCTCACTTTTTGTCATTGTTTTTCTTTACTTTATCATTCGCTAGTGAAATGTGTATATTTTTATACCTTCTTCATCTCATTGACGAGCTTAAACTGAACTTCGTCATCAGCATCTTGAGGGATGCATGCCATTGCAACTGATATCATTATGAATGTAGTATACGTGCAAGTGGATGTCATGGGTTTGCGCGTTTATCGCGTGATGCTCATATTTTTGTTTCTGTCCGACGCCAGTTCTGTTTTATTTACTACCTTGATAATCATCGGTTGTTTACCATGTACATCACGGGTAGCCCAAGCTCGAAATATGAGCATCGGAGAGCATCGGCATTGTTACGTAACATTCAAATACAAGGATTTGTATGGGAAAAAAACCTCTCGTTTCTCTAACCTACGAAAATGAAAGGATTTCAATAAAAAACAGCTTACCTTACTTAAAATGTGTGTTACGTCTCTCCTGTGGGGTCCACGGGCAGATTTATGGCCGTTTTATGGGTTTTTATGTAAACGGTTTACTTTCTATATAAAGGTTTACCATAAAAACTAATAAAACGGCCATAAATCGGCCCGTGGACCACACAGGAGGGACGTAACACACATTTTAAGTAAGGTAAGCTGTTTTTATTGAAATCCTTTCATTTTCGTGGGTTAGAGAAACGATAGGTTTTTTTCCCATACAAATCCTTGTATTTTGAATGTTATGTAACAATGCCGATGCTCGCCGATGCTCATATTTCGAGCTTGGGCTACCTGTGTGTACATGGGCAAACAGGTCAGTCCACGGTTTGGACAAATATACTCAAAATTCAGGACTGCTAAATTCGAATCAGTTTCCTGCGACAAAGGAGGATCGGCCGTGAAAGACTGAAACTAGTTGGAACGATCCAAAAAGTCGTAAAGTCGTGTTCCATTTACTTTTCCATCGGATTTTCCGGAAACTATTTGTAAATGGTAAACAACTACCAACTTCACTCTACCCTGGATGCCAGAGGTTTCCTTTTTTCTCTTTTTCTTTCCTAATTTCTAGTTATTTCGAGAACGGAGCTCTGGAACTAGGGTAATTTAGGCTATTTTAACTCGTCCACGATTCAACTCATCGTCCATGCTAATGCCTTTCTACTATACGATTATAAGAGATTTAACTTTGTTAATCACAACAATGATTTTATAGGGGCATTTTGTCCACTTGTTATCTTGAACAGCACTTTTATTATACAAAAAGAAAAATGATCGAAAGTCCGATACAAATCTCATGCAAACAGTATATATTTATTAAAAAACATATATTGTCACGATGTAAAAAAAAAAGTAAAAAGGTTGAATGTTGAAGTTAATAAGAATGCAGTAGTACATTAAAAAAAGAAAAAACAAAAAAACAAAAAGGAAAAAGATTCACCTTCCCACACCGGGAATCGAACCCGGGCCACGGCGGTGAGAGCGCCGGATCCTAACCACTAGACCATATGGGAAACGACACTAATGGAAGGTGAAATATAAATATTTAAATTACGTAACACATTGGCGAAAAAGCACGTGTCAAATCGACGGTTCTTCTCACAATAACATGAATCAATTTCAAACAATGCTAAAGAATACTCACGGCGTTTTCCCCTTCTGAATCTGCTGTCTGTTTATTTCTTTTAACGTCCTCTCTTTGGCTCTTCTTGTTTTCCCAGCATCTGTTGGACAGATCGCGATACGCGATAAGACGGCATCAAATCAATGGAAATGTTCCTCCAAACGGTTCCCAAGCGTTCGGTAAATCTTTAATTCAAGCAAACAAAAACTATAGCGGCATATGTGTTTCACGCCATACCAAACAATCGTTATTTCAACTCTCAGGACGAAACACAAATAGAGCGATGAAATATCGGTCACGGACGAAACGTGACTGCCGAATGACGAACTCTCACCTCAGTACAGAACCTGGACCGCTTTAACTGACGGCGAAATAAAGTGAAATTTAAGAGAGGAATTTATAATAAGATATGTTAAAACTATTCTGTTGTTTACTTTTCAAAATACTTCGTCCAAACAAATGCAGCTAAATGACAAAGCTTCATTTAAAATCCAGCTGCTGGGTTATTTAAAATCGCTCCGCACGTGTTTTCCACGTGATATTGTGCTCTTTGTATAAAAGCCAACTGACTAATTTCCGATAAAAGTGGACTTTGCATCGAAACTGAAAAGGTGAAATACGATAAGGGTCAAAGTCAATGTTTTTGTCTGATGTTACAGAATAAAATGAAATATTTAAAACATGTAGTTTCAGTTTTCCAGTCGTTGAGACAGTAGTCGAAGAGGCAGAAGAAGTTCCTCTCATGTTTTCCCCCAACTCGCGCATTCACTGTCGATTTTCCGGCTAAACTTCAGAATACCCGGCCACTGAAATATCATTCATCAAATCCTGCTACCGCAGTCCCGCAGTCGACATACTTTACCTAATATCTGTATATAAACATCAAGAAATATGCCGCTTGCATCGTGCGCGTTGGTGTTGACCTTGTTGATCCTTGCTACCGCAGTCCCGCAGTCGACATAATTTACATACATGTATGATCGCAAAATACACGTTAATTGAACTTGATGAGTGAAATAAAAGCAAAATAAACGTGACATGAACTTGATGAGTGAAGTAAAACTTTTGTACTTATGTATTACACGTTCTTAAAGTGTGTTGCGCGAAAGACAATTTCAGTAAATGTGTCTATTCCCGTTCTTGTCCACCAAGCTGTCGAGTACGTAAATTACATTCCATACTCGTTCTATAAATAGTTAGGCCGACTGAGGAGCCTCCGAGTCCTCGAACCACTAAACTGTATACCTGGCTTGTTCATTTGCTCGCGCTACACATGAATAATCCCTACCTTCGTTCTTTTATGCATGAGCCAAAACTAGCGCGCTACACGTGAACATAACTCGTTCTTTCATCCATGAGCCGAAACAAACACGCTACACTTGCTCCTCTCTTTTACTCAGTCGCAAATAACAGAGTGCACAAATCGTATGAACAACAAATATATTCAATTTCCTTTGCCTTAGTTACATCATAAAATCTATTTCAAAACATTATTTTTAATAACAGCAACTCCGGGTATATATAATGTTCACGACGCTCATAGTGTCTGATACATCCAAGATGCGTGAGTCAAACGCACCTATTCGAATATTTTGTAACATGCTTTGAAAAGTTAACGCTTTGTTGTACTGGTGGCATACACTTTCTTTACATCATTCAAAAATACACTAAACAAGTCTTCATCGCGGTGCATGTACCTCCAAATAAATTCCGCCAAATATGTCGAGAAAAGATGCTTTCGAACGCCAAACTTAGGTAGTTTACACTTTGCATGCCTCCAATGACCTTCAATTTTATTGGTATGGTGACCGTCTTTGTTCACAAATTCTACTGAGTGATTAACTGTTCGGTGTTCATAACCATGTGTCTCAAGTTTCGAGTACGCTTTCCAGCAATCAGAAACAATAATAGTTCCAGGTTCAATCCATTTTTGGATGATGGGCAGTAGTGTTTGTTCGTCCCGTTTTTCCACTGCCACCAGGAAACATTTCCTGCTGTCTTCCTCGATTCCCCCAAAGACCCACTGGCCTTCGACGTGATGACCTCGGTGGTATTTCCTCTTGCCAAATTTACTTTCGTCGATCTGTACGACTGTCACTGTTTTCCAGTAGAGTGATTTCGCAAACTTCGCGACAGAAGCTGTCCCAATCCACCCCAGTGCTTTCAGCAAGTCCTACTTCATGTTTTATTTGCGCCTGATCAAGATCCTGGCACCACCAATATGTCAACTTCAAAATTTCTTCTAAGGTCATCTTGCTCTTCTCGTACCAGCTTCCTTTCCTAATCGATACCTCTGCCTTGTGTCTTTTACCGTTAACTTGCTTTCTGCATTCCCACTTCAAACCATCCGATCGATCCTCGCACCTCGTCAAACTCATTTCTCCAGCACACATCGGACACGAACGTTCCTTCGCCATCAGCCCTTCATCCATTAACCAGTGTACCAGCATTTCTTTGTCCTGTATTCGCGCTACCAGGTTGTCGTATCGCCACTTCTTGTGTTCGCAGTTGCGACCATAGCTCCCTGTGAGAGACATTCCACACTGCGTCGCACGTTCCTCTTTTGGAGTTTCTAATGTTGTTGTTTGACTACCAGCATTGATTTTTCTACGTTTTGATCCTATTGCAACTTGTATTCCTTTATCGTCCATACTTCAATGTCTATTACGCAAAAAATATAAGTTCCACGAAGGGGGCGTAAAGGTTTGCGGTATTGCGGTATTGGGTTATTTTTGGTGCGGTGTTGCGGTAATTTTTATTTCAAAGTACGGTATTGCGGTTTTCAGAGTCCAAGCGGTTTGCGGTAAGTTTAAATTTTACGTCGCGGTAGTCGGTGAAAAAATCATTGTGTCGCGGTGATCTGCTTCTTTTTCATGACAAGAGGATACAAATCCAAAAAGGTCTCCCTGGCTAGCCTGCGTGACCTGTGTGCACAGTCGGGGATTGTATTGCGCTAACAGTGCAGACAAATCGTATGGCTTCTAATTTCAGTTAATACTTGATATGATTAACGACATTAACTTTTTCATCCAATGATACGTAAACATGTCGCATTATTTATGACTTCATGGACCTTGTGGGAAAAGTCAGCTTGGCTAACATCCTTTATACCAATCTTACCACCACTTTCGTGCCAGTCGCCAAACAATAGAGAGCGATCCAGAGGGTCAACTAAGTGATCAGTCAGATATTCCAGCAAATAGTGAGGTCAGTGAGATCGTTATAAATTGCGTAGTGTCGAAAGATAATCTATGACTATAGTGGGGTCTAAAAATTAATACTTGTCCTTCTCGTTGTGCATGCAGGAATATAGAATGTACTAGTATTCGTGTGTACTTACCCTACGTAGCATAGCGGCCCGGGGGTGGGGGAGGGGGGGTACTTTTTGATAAGAGGCTAATGAAGATTTGCCGCTGGATGGGGTCACATTTTCACGACTGGACTGACTATAATGGGGTCGCATTTTCAGAGAGTTACTAGAATGGGATCGCACATTTTCTGCTTTTTTGGGGTATGACAGTTCTTCATATTTACGGTTAGCAAAGGGACCAAAATGTTTGTATTGTCGATGAAAAGTAAAGTGTTCTTCATTCAATCTAAAACAAGGTCAATTCATAAAAATAGAAAGCGACGAAGTTGGGATCGCGAAAATTAAATATTTGTTCAAAAGTGACTAAGATGGGGTCTATAATTGGCCACAGCGTAGACTGTAATGGGGTAAGGGCTGTGAGAGGCCAGCGGCACATACCAACCAAATATTAACCTAAGTACCCCCCTCCCCTCCCCCCCTCTCCCGGACATGGCTGTTTTACATGGTTTTGTCGGCAGCACCACTGTGAGCGGCGAAGCAGCTCCTGCCCCAATCTCCTCGGCCTGGCCCGCCTTATTATTTAGCGCGCCCAACCAAAACCGCCATGCTACGCAGGCTAGTGTGTACTGTGTGCCCTTCGAATCCAAAAGGTAGCCCGGGTCGTGGTTTTGAAACCCTCAACACAGAACCGAGTTAATTGTGAATCTGAAACAACCTCATAAGAGTCAACTGTTTTCCGTTCGTTTATGATCCGGGTCAGTTATATAAAAAGTGATACTGGAAAACTCCTGTTGTATCATTTACGTAAACGTATACATGTAATGAACAAAGTTAAACGAGTGCGATGATCTTATGTTTATCGTATACTTGACATCGACTCACCTTGATTTGGAAACACTGACATAAGAGTATTATTTCTATTTGAAAGGAGGATTTGTAGCATTGACAACGCCAACTTTTTCCCATTTGTAACTGCGGTTTCGGTATTTGGCTAAATTTTGATGCGGTATTGCGGTATTCTCGCGCTACCACGTGCGGTATTGCGGTATTCGTATCCCCCTTACGCCCCCCTCTTCCACTTATCGCAGACCTTTCACTTTACGAGAATTGTCGATTATATATCACACCAAATGAATCGATGTCACTTCACTTCACTGAATATGCTAATAACGTTTCTAATAGGTTTCATAAAGTACGCCGCCCTTTCCAATTAATAAAATCTCCTCTCAATGAAAAAAATCCCGCCCGACACTACCAATCCTCACACGAATTTGTTGCCTTCATTGAATTCGGCATGCGTCTTAAAAAACCTTTACATCTCGGTTTCAATCATTTATATCACACCTTCTCTATTGGGTCCGTTTGAATAGGGCAGTCAATTACCTTGTAAGTGGCACACAATAACTTATTTCAAACCATACAATACTATGAAGTTCACTAACAAAGGCGGCTCGCACTACTTCCTAAGGGCTATTCCCTGCTCAGTCCAGGCTAATTTCAGTTGATAATAATCGTTCTGGCCGTCAACATCAAAATGTACGCTGTATCCAAACTCAACAAACAGCACGAACAGACATGGATCAACCTTCAGAAACGGCTGAATTCGGTGCAGTTTCCGTACCAGAAGCTATTTCCCAACCAAGACGTTTATCAATTCGTAAAGAATAAGGCCGTCTCCGTTGGAAGCTGCGAAGGATATTTTATTCCTTCGCTGCTAACAACTACAGGATTCATACTGGCGTCCAACAACGCTCAAGTTAACATCACCACACACAAGCAACCATTAAACATATTTACTATATTTGTGGGATATCCCGGAACGGGTAAGTTCAATTGGAATGTTCTTTATATGCACTTGTACTTCTCGTAGTACCTTGCCCTCAGCACGCCAATATGTTTTCCGCACTTACTCTTGCTGTCGGTTCAATCAAAAACTAAAAGAGCTTCTATTGATCAGGCTACCTATCAAATTGTAATATGTTACTTTTGTCTCATACAGGAAAATCTTCTGCTATCCAGTATGCAGCCCAGGATCCACTGGAAAATCTAGACTTCACTGACGCCATCATTAGCAAGACCACCTCGTCTGGACTGGTCAAACTTCTTGCGAATAAGAGGAAAGGAATGATTCTCTCTCCAGAGGTCTTCGACATCATAAACAAGCTTCTTAAGTCCGATGAAGACAACGCTACCGGAGATGTCCAGCTTCTCTGCAAACTCTTCTCGGGCGAGCGCTGCTCATATCACTTCTCTACAGAGGAAACCAGAGTGATCCCTCCAAATACGCCCTTCTGTCTCCTTGGTTCCACGCAACTGGTCAACGCTGCCAAATTGATCGCACGCGTGGATCAAGGACACGGCCTAGTGGACAGAATCCTTCTTGCCACCCCCCTTGCCTTTCGTCCGACCCTTACTGAAATGGAGGCAGCCACCGATCAGTTATCCACCGAGGTAGTCAGTGACTTCTCTGAACTGTTCGAGAACATAAATGGAATTGACGAAAGCGTTGAATTCGTCTTCGACGATGAAGGGAAGGAGCTACTCAGAGAGAAAATGGACGAGTTCGTGGCTGAGGTCAATGAAGCCATCAGAGATGGGAAAGTGCCACCCAAATCAAAGACGCCAGAACTTATCCCGAGAATAGCGTGCGCCCTACATGTCTTCAATCACGCCATGGAAGAATTATTGGCTGGTGTACCCTCGACACAACCTGACACAACGATATCCAAAACAACCCTGGAAAATGCAGCATCTTTCGTGAATCACCTCGAGACACAGCAGGAAATACTCTGCCAGGTAAGCTATCGTAAACACCAAAACTTTCATTTTTCTTTAATTACCTTTATTGCACGCACATTCTAATTCTTATTAATAGAAACTCGGCTTGTTCTATTCGCCCATAGAAAACGATCGCGCGCGCGCTAAGCTCTTTGAATGGTGCTTTATTCAAATCTTAGAGAGCTTTTCACTTGAGTGTAGACATTAATTAATGCATTTGCCGTGGTTTTGTATTACGCCGCTTAGCGAACGGTTTTCAAACACGTGCTTCTTCAATATCTCAGCCAATGCGAAGTAAAACAAAACAAATCATTACTTGCTCGCGAAATTATTTTTGCGCTTTGTCTGTGTCCTTTGTGATTGGCCAGTGTGATACGTTTGGTTTTAGTTTTTTCTACACTCAGTTGAAAACTGTTCTAATACGTTACCTCAGTCACTCAAACTAAAACAAAGCACAATTACCAGAAATGCAGTAATGTTTACCGGACAATTGTTACGGATAACTGATCAATACACCACAACAATTACCTGTCTCACGGTTACTTGCATTGTTTTAAATGAGTTTCTTCTCCTTTTTCAGTTTCTTAAAGAAGTCACAAACGCAGTTTGTGATAAAACCATCGATCAGCCTACCACACAAATGGTCAGGGACAACGTCTTAATCACCCAAGGCCCAGTGGTCTCCTATCGGTCGTTCAAACATGGCAAAAGATCAGCACGTGCAATTGCCGAAAGTGAATTTAACACCGCGACAGAATCATTAATGCAAGATGGCTTTGGAAGAATTGTGGAATTTAGAATTCCTCGAGCAAGAAGCGCCTGCAAGGTATTTGTGAAAAGCAAGCCAAACCCTTGGCCGAACTGTACGAATGTCAGTTTAAGCGAATTTGACAATGCCTTGGCCAAGCCTCTACATAATGATATCACAGTTCCAATGAGACAATATCTTCAAGCCAATAATTACATCTCGAATTAGCAATATTTAAATCAAATCCATTTCTGTACGACAAGCGACATTAAGTTAAGACAAACAAACATGTTCATAGCAGTCAATTTAGATTTCCTTTTTAAGAGTAATTTTTCATCCATAAATTATAATTCAAAAACCATTTTGTTGAATGGAAACGTTTTAGCTTTTTACTTTCGTATTGAATACCTGCTTTTCAACAGTACCATTTAAGTAGCAGTCATTATTTTACATTCTAAATATAGTTTATATTCTACTATGTTTGTATTTCATTGCATTTTTAAACCAATTAAATTAAATTAAAATATGACCTTTGTTGCAATGCTAGTTTACATTACTTTATCTTAAAGCGGGACTTTTTGCGCGGCAGCATTAGATAATCATCGAGTGCGGGACTTTAGACCGCCGTATCACTTCATTCTAGCGCCTAGCTCATTGCTTATTCACCCGGAGTGCGGGACTGCGGACCCCCAGCGCTTAGCTCATTGCTTAGTCACCGAGCGCGGGACTGCGGACCGCGGTAGCAATTTAGTTTAGAGCTTACCTCATTACTTATTGATTGACTGCGCGACTGTGGACCGCGGTAGCACTTCAGTTGACACTTAGTTTAATACTTATTCATCGACTGCGGGAGTGTGGACCGCGGTAGCACTTCAGTTTAACACTTAGTCAATACTTATTCATCGACTGCGGGAGTGCGGACCGCGGTAGCACTTCAGTTTAACACTTAGTTTAATACTTATTCCACGACTGCGGGAGTGTGGACCGCGGTAGCACTTCAGTTTAACACTGAGTTTAATACTTATTCATCGACTGCGGGAGTGTGGACCGCGGTAGCACTTCAGTTTAACACTTAGTCAATACTTATTCATCGAGTGCGGGAGTGCGGACCGCGGTAGCACTTCAGTTTAACACTTAGTAAATACATATTGACTTGCTAGCCGACTACGGACCGCGGACTACGGGAGCAGTAGATTTAAAAAGGGCGTGAGTGGCCGGGTATTCTGAAGTTGCTCCGATTTTCCTTGTTGTTTCCTTGTTTGTCCAAGCGCATCGAGGCAACCAAACGAAAATCTGACAATGTTCTTTCTGGCAGAAAGCCGTGACAAACGAAAGATTGCCGAGAGAGCCGTTCCAACAAACCTTAATGCCAGGGAATTTAGGGATTTTTTTCAACTTTCCTAGACACGAAAAGTAGTTCAGTCATAATTTGTTCCTCGCACTGTAACGCAGCTGGCTTCCGTGACACGAAAACGTTTACAGTGGAACAAGTTTTCATAAAAACTGAAACATATGTGACATATTGATTATTGCCATTGCGTCCTCTTTTAAAATCAATAAGAGTGAGAGGTATGTCAAAGGACACAAAGGGTAATGGAGCTCTCCGTCAAGCCGATCGGCATCATCATGTCAGTGTGTAAAATATCGACGACGAACCGTAGCCAGCGAGCAGCAGGAGCAAGCTTTCCATTTAAGGCTTCTCGCGACTAAATAGCCTGCCTAGCAAGCGTTTCCAATCGAGTTATTGCGCGATCGTCATTCTTTTTTTTTTTTGCTCTCGTTCCAACTTTCTAGACGAACCTCGCGAGGAAACGCTTGCTACGCAGGCTAGCGACTAAATGAGACCTTGCTTCCAGGCCATTATTGCGAACTGTGGACTTCGGACTTCAAACTGGATCTACGTACTACGAATGGGTATACAACACAGATTACGGACCGTGTTTTATTTATTTAAACAAAAGAAACGAAAAGAAAGGGAAAAAAACAGGCTTGAGGAAGTTAAAATATGCAATAATTCGTGGCGGAGATCTTGGACAAGTAATAAAATATAATTCGGTTATAACAGTCTTGGTCGCTACTTTCTCAGCTTCATGTTCTCCATTTTATTAGAAATGTAACATGAATTTCCTGACTCCAAAATACAAAACAAGGAACTTAGGGTCCGGTGCCACACAAGCACATAACCAGCATAACCCGTAATTTTTTAAAGGGACGAGCAAGTAAGCTTTGTTTATAGGCCCAAAGAGTCTACTTGCAAAAAACACCGCTCTAACAAAAAGCTCTGGAAGTGTGGAAACGAGGTAAATATTAACTGCGAAGTTTAACCGGTTTAAGAGTTCCTTTATAACAGAGTAATTACAGTAATTATTATACTTTGAACTCACTATCTCTTTTCTGATTGGCCGAAAGCGTATGGTGAATTTTCGAAATCAGCGTCTGAGACGTCATCTAGCTGCATTATACAATAATCATGTCAAGGACACTCAAGGTCAAGGGTAGTCATGTATGACCGCGGTGCTCGATTTCCAAGAGTAATCCTGTCAAGTTCGCGCGTTTTGTGTTGCTGGCCGTCAGTGAAGAAGCAAAAACATGACTTCCTGCAGGTTTGCTTCGACCGAGCAAGTCACCCCGGGGCAAGTCATCGAAAAAATAGTTGAAGACAAGGACTCACAAAACACAATGAGGTCGACGAAGGTGGACAAGGAGCCGTTTGCTGATTACGTGAAAGAGAAAAAACTGAGAGAACCTGAGGAAAAGAAAGAGTTGGCACAAACTTTGAAAACGTACATTTTATGTCGAAGCGAGAAAGGAAGAATTCGTTCCATGTATAATAAAACAATTATTACCCTCGGTTGTTATGATATCCAGAATACTCAAGGGGAGTCAGTAAGGGTTATCAGCTGAGGCCGTAGGCTGAGGCTGATAACCCCCGTACCTCGAGTGATTCTGGATATCACAAAAACCTCATCCAATAATTGTTTATTAACAAGCAAAGGCCGTCAAAATGTTCCCCTTTTTCTTTTAGAACCCTTGTGAGGTGTTTGCGAGGTTGAAACTCTAGAAGTTTTCAAGCCGTTAGAATTTATTTCTTTTAAGAAATTGTGTGCGGAATACCCTTAAATAAAATTTAATATATTGTAAATTTTGTTCAATTTGACTCGAACTAAATAATCTGATGACTTACCTTGTAATTGTGTTTTCTGTTATTACTGTCTCAGTTGGCTTTTGGAGCCACTCAGTTTCTTAGCCGTTTTGAAGTTATCTTCCAAATAAACCTATCGTTTCTTTTCATCTATTTTAATTTAGGCTTGACCTACCGCCCGCTCTGAAAATGCCTTCGGAGACAGTTTAGCAAAGACGGTGCAAGAGGGACGTAGAGAAAAGACTTGAATAAGCTTTAGTCCACGTTTTATGCTAGTCCGAAATCTTGAAGTCTCATTCTGTTCAATTTGGCCAATTAACTACAGTCCGTAGTCTGTAGTCCACAGTCCGCAGTCCCTTCGTAGTTTCGCTAGTTACTAGTCTCTCGCGGAAATGATCCGCCAAAAGTGCGTCGCGCTCTTTAAAAAGTAAACGACATAATTGCAATGATTGCTAAGACAATATTTTATCTTTCTTTAGCTGTAAATCGCATTTTATTATTTGCCTAGATCGCATCGATGCTTTGGAAACTTCTAGTGAACTCATAATACATACTACATATTAAAAGTGACGGGCGTCATTTTTACTTCACGGCACCCAGCTAACTAACCCACCTAATGACTATAAAAAACCTGAAAACGGGTACAGTTGGGGTGGATTCATTTGCAGTATGTGAGTCAGCTATCGCACGGCAGGAAGCATAAAAGCAATTTAAAGGGGGAATTCGATAGTTTTAATTAGGCATATTTATTTTCAAATGAATCATGGTAAGTGTTGCGGCGAGGTAAGTTCATGACGCAATACATAAAACTGGAAAGGCCTCGGTACCATAAACCGTGGTGTACTAAATTAGCATACGATCGCAAACGATAAACAACAACATCGAAGATGGCGGGTAGACCAGAGTTTTTATTAGCGCTTAATTGAGTAGTAAGCAATGTAAGTAGTAGGAACTTTCCATCGCTTAATGTTAAACTTCTTCAAGTAAAACCGTGAAAGCCCCCCCCCCCAACTTTTTCTTTCGCTTCGCCGCCGCTGGTATATAATTAGTTATTAGTAAAGGAAAAAAAGAAGGAGGGTAGGGGGGGGGGGGTTAAAAAGGAGGGGGACTTATTAATTTTCTTCCCCTGAAAAGGGAGGGTTGAAATGGGAAAACAAAACCATTTACAAGCTAAAAAGGTCTATTCTTTCATTCGCTCTGATCACTTCCTTTCCTCTCATTTCTTTACTTATCCAAAAGAATCTCACAGTACAAGAATAACGGTAAGAAATTAATAGTCTGCCCGCTATGGCAAGCATCCGTTCACTCAAGGATCTCATAAGCCTTTCATATATGTTAGTATTTTGCGTTCTCATTACAAAGGTCCACAATTGATTCAGCACATGCTATCAACGTGGTTTCCGTAGTGTAGTGGTTATCACGTCCGCCTCACACGCGGAAGGTCGCCAGTTCAATTCTGGCCGGAAACAGCATTCTCGCTTCCTTTTTTTTAATGTCCTTTTTTTTTGCGTAAGACGAAAATGTTTTGACACAGTCAGCAACAAATATAAATAACCGTTCGATATGTTCTTTTGCTGTTTCCCAATGGAAAGAACATTAGTTTCAGTGAACTTGTCTCGAGATCTTGCCTTAGTTCTATATTAAAGGTTTACTTGGATCCTAGTTTTTTTTTTTTGACATCAAAGCATGGTTTCTGTGATCTTTCAATGACTTCCAGTTTGTCTACCATAAGTGAGAACAGTTTTGGCGTTGTTAGCACTATTTGGTACTGATCTACAGTACCATTTCAAAGGTCATGGAGCATCATTTCTTGACCTTAGCGTACAGGAGTTTTTTTATACTGTGTACTGTGGACATTTTCCAAAATTGCCTTATTGTCTCTTATAAGCTTTTTAGCAAAATTGTAACCAACATCACACTCATATTCCGTTGACCAAAAAAGCAACGTGACATATAGCATCGTTTTACGCATATGACTCAGAATTTCTTTTAACCTAGTCCGTATTATGCCGTTAAAAGCAAATCAACACTAAACGGTTTTCATTCTTGATAAGAAACGCCGAAACGTCGAATGAAATTTCGAAATGAAAAAAAAAAAAAATTCTCCCCGGCGGGGAATCGAACCCCGGTCTCCCGCGTGACAGGCGGGGATACTCACCACTATACTACCGAGGACGAGATGACAACAGAAGGGCGTAAATGACATATTTAATGCCCACTTTTATTCCTTTTTTATTAACACTGATAAATTGATTACTGTCTCTGCTGTCTGCAGGAACTATACCTGAAAGGTATCTGTTCACTGATGTGAAAACTACTGAGAAAGCTTTTTACACTTTTAAAAAAACTTCTTTTTCCAGTTCCTAACTAGCCTGCGCATGCGTAGCAGTCGTTTCCGTTTCCTTTACGCCATTTTGGTCCTTTTTGCCTCGCGCGTCTTTTGTGCCTCCCCCGCTTGGCCTAAAGGAAACGGTAGCCTGCGTAACTGGCGCTTTATGAGCCAAGCGATTTCGCGCGAATCGCGAGACGAGCGCGAATCCCCTCGCCTCGCGATTCGCGCGATATGCCGTTTTCGTCTCGCTTCGCTCATAAAGCGCCAGCTATGCAGGCTAAGGAAACAGTAACGACCGTTACGCACGCTAGTTCGTAACTAGGAGCTATCAGTTAGCTTCAGTTGCAACTGTAGAACCAAAGAGAAACAGTTCTTTTAGATGCACAACTGGCACAGACTTCACAACAGTCGGATAAAGTTCCCCAGCATCCTGATTACGGCAGTAAGGAACAACAGATACCACCAATCCTGGGCGTGAGGCAGCAAATCTGCCGAGAGAAAACATGTCATAGATACATTTGAAAACATTTCAGGAAGACACTTACATGTAACTTTGTGTTAGTGAAAAGCGTGAGATTCTTATCCTAGGAGTGCCAGAATTTTGCAAGGAGGACCCGATCAATTCCGAAACGTTACGAAGATTACCGAAGGGGTTTCGCAGGTCTCCCTTATATGGACGGTAATCACTAGTACATTGTCACCTAAAAACGGCGATTCTGGGGAAACTACGTGATCATTCACATTGACTGTTATTGTTTAGGAACAAGGATTAACACAGTGGGTTATTGCGCCACGTTCCTTCCGAGATTGATTCCCAAATCCTTGTTTCGACTTCTTTCCATTCTGTGTAAAAACCCATGAAACTTTCCATTCTGTGTAAAAACCCATGAAACAGAGCACAGTTGGAAACAGCACACCGCCGGCCTCAGGTTTGCCTTTTTAATGAGTACTGCTTATATACAGGACCTTTAACCTGTACCTTCTATAACACAAAGAATTGAGCATTTATAGTTAAGGTAGAGCAGTAGTTGCAGTTCCTAAATAAAGAACCTAAGCCTACAATAAGGAGCTTAAGCAAACTGAAACGTTTTTGAGCGTAGTACGTCAACCGGAAGTGGACGTTTTGCATACTTGGGCAGCGATTTTTCCCACCTTTTCTGGCAAATTGTCTCAACAGGAGTAAAGATACTTAGCAAGACAAATTTGGTAGCGTTAACCCTTTAAGTCCCAATGGTGTCCAACATCAATATTCTCCTAACACAATCCATACATTGTTAAGAGATTAGGTTATGAGAATTAAAAAAATGATCACCAAAGATAAATACCTTGATCGTTTACCAAATTCTCTTAACTCATTCTTTAAGGAAATGTATGAAGACCAGTTTGGAGAATTGGTATGTGGATATTGGGACTTAAAGGGTTAAGGCATATTAAAAGAGAAAAGGCCTCACTTCCGGTTGACGTGTGTCTTCCAAAGACGTGTTTGCTTAAGCTCATTAATAGGGAGCTTAAGCAACTACGACGACGACCACAAAGACGACTTCAAAAAAACAATGGGTTTAAAGATCAAAACAACAGCTCTGCACGTACATCACGCTTTTTAGTACATTTCTTTGACGTCCACTACACGAATGAATGGAGCACAGAATGGAACACTTATTCGAACAGTAAACATCAAAGAAATATATTAAAAGCTTGATGCACGTGCAGAGCTGTTGTTTTGCCCATAAAAAACAATTGTTTTTTGACGACGTTGGCGTTGTCGTCATCGTTGTGGTTTCTTAAGCTCCCTAATGCTACATCAGGGGCACCCAACGAGAATATACTTCAAAACCACTTAAAACTAACATTGTTAAACGTATTTTAGAATTCAAACAGTAGATATAGGAATATTTTTATCCCCTGAAAATTTTTCATCAGTCCAGATTTCCTAGCTGAAAGTCTAGTGATCCGAAAATTATCGGGATTAAAACTTACCTTTTCGAACATTTTAGCCAGAAAAAAGGCTCCCGAAAATTCTAGGTGACCTTTTTAGGTTAAAACTCCGTTCAAAATGGGCAATTATACCATTTTTTAGATGTTCAAAAATCCTAGGAGAGGTAGGCAAGCAAGAAATGTTACAACAAATGTTCCGAAAATTCTACATCTCAAATCGTCTTCCGAACAGAGATTTTCCGAAAATTGACGTTGGGTGCCCCTGCTACATGTCCAAGCAAAAGAAATGAGTATTAGTGTAGTTACCTCCGTTCCAAGCAATCCATCAATGCTTTACTAGCTTTGAGTGTAATGTCACAGAGCACTTGAAAATAAATCAGCTTACAACACTGAAAGATCGAGAAAGATTTCAAAAGGTAACAATGAACATCGGACGTTCATTGAGGTTCCAATTTTTATTTAGGACCTAACCATAACACTCAGCAATTAAAGCAGGATGCGCTTTTAAACTTTTTAACGGGAGTAACAATTTAAGGAATTTTTGTTCTTGAAAATGCTTGTTCTAAAACAACAGGGAAAAAATTAATTCTTTCACACTAACAGGGGCAAACTGAACAGACACTGAATAAAAAAATCAGCTTTGCTGAGAATCCCCAAGAGCCCCCTTCTATAATCTCCTTAGTAACCATGACTTAACTAAGCTTCCAACTAAACCCCATAGAAGGTTGATCATAATTTTTCATATTAGAGTAGTGAGGCACAGCAATATTTGGAACACTAAATGGCATGAAAAAATGAATAAATGAAATTCGTGTATTAGAACTGCGGGATGAAGATATAAAAGCAAAGAAGATCATCTGTGATACCCGTGCAGCTCTCTAACTAATTGCGCCACTAAGCCATCTGGTAGCTGGTCATTAAATTGGTTCGTAATATACCCGGGGAACTGAGATGAAAATCATCATGAAATAATGAATATGTGAATTTCATGATGATCTACATGGTATAAAAGTGTAAACAACTGCGGTCAATTCTGTTTAAGTCTCTTGGAAAATAACCCACTAGAGACTGGCAGACCTTTAAAAAATTGGGCATCATTGCACCAAATCAGACAATTGAATTTGTGCAATGATACACAAAGACAACACCCTCCAAAAAATATTGCTCTTGACCTGTAAACATGGGTTAATTTCAACAGCTGGAAGAACAATAATTTGTTATACCTTCTCAAACAAAGAAATGACTGATTGTGTGTACATTTTTATAGCTCCTTCCCTGGCAATGATGCAGACCCGTTCAAGGTGTTTCAGCTCACTAAGGGTCAGGATAAATGATTCAGTTATGCTGAGGTTTGGCTGTTCGAGTCTGAAAAACAAACAACCAAAGTTATGTCATGAAAATCACAATGAATTGTATCTCCCTCTGAAAAAGGTGTAATAAATTACTATTTACATCAGAAAATATGCACTGTGATTTGTGGCAATGCAATTTTTACAATAGGGTCTTCAGCCGATTTGGAGATACTTTGTAGCAGGTTGTTCTCCCGCCTTGTCAATTTTTTTAAGTTTTAAGTTTATGCACAAGTTTTCAACCCGGGTAGTTGATGTAAAAAGCTCAGATCTCTGCTGATAGCCCTTATACAGATGCTCCCCTCCCCTTTTTTCTGGGTGGAGGGGGACGTCTGTACACAGGTTACCTAGCTCTGGTGAGGGATAGTGAGAAAACAATTCAAGAGGGGGAAGAGTGGGAAGGGGGAAGTAGCAGGGGAGATCCTTAATAGAGAAACCCTGCATCATATCTTAAGTCCTCTGAGAATGTTCCAAAGATTTCCAAAGTTCTCTCGAAATGAATAAATAATTAAAGAAAGTCTGATGACTTAAATAACTTTTTCTTTCCTTGTATTGGTTCTCCATGGATCATTTTGCATTATTATATTTTAATATTCTCAGATATGGGTCGGTTGGCTGTACAGTAATAGGGAAAAGTTTGCTTAGTCCTAATTATTGTCCGTGGACGATGCGTTTCAGGTCACGTAGTCCGAGCAAGTTTTGTGGGCATCTACCAGCCATTCATTTTGGATACGTCACCAAAATGCATTGACTGAGAAGGCCTGGGAAGACGTTGTGCATGGACTTGGCAAGGTAAAACTCAAAACTGGTCCACAGGTGTGAACCGCCATGAGATCAGATTTTCGATCCACACGCATGAGAACTTGAAATGCAGGTAAAACTGTCATGGGAAAACCCTCCATAAACTTTCCATTCATCTAATTCTAATCAGTATTTTCCTGAAATTTTTGCCTCCAGTTGCCATGAATTTATAACACATTGCTTTCCTTCATTAATGGTTTAGCCTTACCTGAAATCTCTGAGTTGATGACAGTGTGAAAGAGCCTTTTGAAGAAGGACCACATTGCCAGAGTGACTAAGACGAGCCAATGACGCCAGAGATAGGAACTCCAACTTTTGACAGTTTTGTGTCACAGCGACAAGAAACTCAAAGTTACCTTGTGCAATAGGCACTATAGAGGAAACAAAAAGGTTGTATACAAAGTACATCACTTAAAAACGTCAGAGTCACTGTACTAACAAACTTTCTGCATTTTGCAAAAAAAAAAACACTTGCCCCAGTTTAGCTCAAAACACAAAAGAAGAGAAGTAAGGAGTTAGAAGAGGGAATGAAGCAGAAGACAATGGAAGATGAGCTCTACGTATGGAACAGGAAAAAGGTCAGTGGGTGTGATGTAAGAAAGGTCAAATGTGCAAAGAGAATAAAATATGAGACCTTCAGGAAAAATGGGTGGTGAAGAAAGAGAAGTAAAGGGAGGGAAAGAGAGTAAAAAATGAATATAAAATTATGTTAACAAAGACAGGAGAGAATAGGAAGAGGAGAAAGGAAGAAAGGGAACTGGAGTAGGAAAAGGAGGGCAGACATTTACACAGTGGAGTACAAGGAAGCAAAGGGAAGAATGTGAGGGAATGAATTTGAGAAGACAGTTGACAGAGTGAAATAAAGATGATGTGGATAGAATGAAAAGGAGGAAGAAATCAGTGCAAAGAAAGGATGCAGAAAAAGTAAATAGGGAAGAAGGCAAGGAGAAGAGGAAAATGTACCATAAAAATATTAGAGTGAAAAGAAAACAGAAAAACTTAATGGAAAGGAGGAGAAGGGAAAGTAAAGGAATGAGAAAAGTAAAAAAATGAAAAATACTAAAGTACTGAATGCTTTATTGAAGCAGATGGAGACTGAACATTTTTAATCATGCCTTTTTTATACAAACCTGAAAGTGTAAGCCTCTTTAAATTTCTCCAATTTGTAATTGCCATCAAAGTACTGTATGAGTGTCTCATTAAATAACACCTTGCTTGATATCCATTTGTGTTAGGCCTGAGTGAGAATGAAAAACATGAAAGTGTGTCTTGGGGATGAAAATGTAGCCTACAATGTAGTATGTACTTTTTAATTATCAAAAGGAGATATTGTGCCCCAAGTAAGTTTTCCCTCACCCATCTTACCTTATTTTACCTGACCTAGGAACCTGTCCACGGGCCTCGGAAAATTTGAGCTGATCTCAGAATCTCACAAGTACAATGGCTGTAATGAGTCGGAAGTTCCACTTTTTCATGCTTATTTCTGTCTCAGAGTCATAAATGTTTGGCCCCATCGTCTTGAGCTAGTTAGGTTTCTCTTAAAGGAGCAGATTATGTTGAATAGCAAAAGACAACAGGAAACAGTAATGTTCCAATGTCTAAATGTATAATTATACAGTATTTAGTCATATATATTAAATATAAATATATATAACAAAATTGAAATGTTGGAATTTAATGCAAATTCAATGCAAATTTGAATGTGAATTCAATACCAAAGACACATTTTGCTTACAAGAAAGATAGCAAATAGCATGACAGAGCCCCTTTAAAATATGCTTGGCCACAATTTCTTGAGTTTTAAAACAAAGGAATCAATGAGTCAGCAAGTCCCAGATTTTACCATTCACCACCCCCAATATACAGTACCAGATGCTGACATACAGTAACTGGCACATGATAAGGGAAAGAAATTCAAAAGAAAGATCAGCAGCAATCAAACTTCTCACCACAACAGTATTTGAACTATCTGGTATAGTGTGACCATATCCTAAGTATGGCCCAACATGTAAAGTACTCAATTTCGCCAAAGCCTATTAAAAGGCTGCTCGAAAGTATGCCTGAGGAAAGAGGGCAGGCACTTACCTAAAATACTCTTTTTTGTAAGTCTTTACAAAAGCAGGATCGCCTGTAGAGCTGGTTTCTGATGATGTTGAGCTTCTTGGGATGTCTTTTATGAGCTCAAATTCTGTTATTCCACTGCATGATTTTGTCAGGCAATAAAATGATTCTTCAACATTTAACTTGTTCCACTGAGTTCTATCGTCACATACTGCAGTTGCACCTTGAAAACTGCTAGCATTTGAACTTGAACTGCTACTTGTACCACAATGACCCATCCATTTAGAACTGTTATTGGAGCTTTTGTTTTTACTAGGTGTTCCAAGCCCACAGGCACAGAGGCTGAAGGTCATTAGATTATTGAACTTTGCAATGATCTCCATAACACCGCTTGGTTTTTCTAAAAACGTGTGGTCATGTACTCCATTTAGGTTTAATTGGGCCAACTTTGGGCAAAATTCTGCTATTGACTCTAATCCATGAATCTTGAAAGAACAACAAAAACAACCATTTCACATATTTAATTACACAAAAAGCACCCTTTTTAAAGAGAATTATTGTCCTTTCAAATGGTATAATTTATTTTTGAGAATTTTTACAAAATGAAATTTGGGATTTTCATTGAATTTTGACTTTGGACAGTCTAAGGAATAAAAGAGAGTTTGCCTAAAGAATTAGGGTTTTTGCCCACAAACAAATTTGCCTTCAATAATACATTACCAAGGCAAAAAATTGCTTGTGGGCAAAAAGAACAAATTAATAACTAAAAGTGTAAATATTAATTAATTACTTATTAATCCTGCTCATCAAAAAAAGGGCTAGTCAAAATGACTTCATCTTCTAAAGGGCTTAATATCACAAAGTCACACAAAGATGACAAACACAATCATACATCCTGTATTTACATGAAAGAATGTAGGTTCATATTTCAAGACTATGATACTTACCGGTTCAAGACAGCCAGTACAATCCTGTAAATTAAGAATTTCTAAGTTTGGTGACGAAGATGCTATTACTTGCAGTAAATGGCCATCAATGCTCCTTATTCTTGCAAGGTTTAGATATCGCAGAGCATGCTCACTGAAAGCTGGTGATTTCAAACTTGTAGCATCCAGAAATTGCAAGGGCACATCCAAGTTGACTAAACAGGGTTTTGTCTCAAGTTTTTCAAAAGAAGTATATTTCTGGTCAGAATGATCATAAGGTAAAAGAAATGTAGACAAAGCTTCATTGTCTAGCAAGGTCTTAATCGCATTGCAGGTCATCTCATGTAAATCGAGCAAAGGCAGACCATTGAAGCCATCCAGAATACTGCGATCACTTATTTTAGCTAAGTCATTCTTTTGGAACTGGAATCTGCTTCCCTCAATGGAGATTTTAAAAAAGTGAATATATTTTCCTACTTCATCCACCCACTCAAGGGTAAACTTTTTTAAGCCAAGCTCGCTGCAAATCAATGGCACTCCAAACTTAATGATCCAACGAAAGGAAAACTTGGATGTTCCATGAAACAATGGAAAACGAACTGTAAGGCTATCCAATCCTGAGAAAGCACCTGAAAGTTCACTGCAGAATGATATTAACACTTTTTTTAAAAGGTCATTCCTGTTTGAGCCAACGATATCATTAAAGTTAAGATCAAAGCAACTGACAGACCAGTCCAGTCTTTTGAGATTGTTCAGTTTCAAAACAGAACAGATGGTCTTCTTTGTAATGTCACAACCCAAGACATTGAGAGAAGTCAATTTTCTGCACTTCTGTAAGGCATTAGAAAGAAGGGTACCTTTCAACCAGTAACACTCCAGCAAATTCACCTCCTCAAGACAATGTTTGAACTTGCTGATATAACTGCAGATCACCAGAGATGATAAATCATGTTTACGATGAAAATCAATGCATCTGAGAAAGTAAATAAGACCATTCATTATTAACAATTTAATAACGTTAGAATACAAAGCTTAACCTAGTATTGTAGTCGGAATGTTGCTGTTCAGCATTACACTTAACTAAGATACTCCTCCCCTGCCAAAAAATCCCTTAATTTATATTTTCTAATTCTTAACCTCAAAAAAAGTATCAATAGTTCTCCTTCCCTAGACAAACCCTCCTCCCTCCTCTTCCTCCTCAATCATTGCCCATCATTTTGAATCTGGAGCACTTTTGCCTCAGGTTAAAATATTGATGTTGCTTGTCCATTTGACATCCATGTGAAATACAAAGAGAAAGAGAAATTTGAGAACTACTAAGACCTGAATAGGGAGTTATTTATTTGTTTATCACAATCTGTGGTCAAAGGCCAAAGGATAATATGTAAAGGAGTCCTAAATCCCATATAAAAACAGACCACCTATGAACTAATAAAAAATTATATTAAAAAAATAAAAAAACGGTTGAAATGGATCTGGAAATTATACAGAGTAACTGTGGTGCCAATCATAATTGGTGCATCAGGAACTGTTTCGAAATATATAGAAAAGTGGTTACCAGAGACTGGTGTCACATGTCGTTCGGAATCATTGCAGAGGTATTGTCATTTATTCATTTTACATATGGTTTTCGTTCTTACATGGGTCTGATTAACATATTTTTGCAAGCAAGAATTCACATTTTTCAAAGTCATAGACACCCAGCCGGCGTGAGATCGGTTTTCAACCCGCAGTGACTCATGCCTGTTTAAGGAAGATTCCAGCAAGCCATCCAGAAGCTGTGTTTAATGATAATAATAATAATAATAATAATAATAATAATAATAATAATAATAATAATGATAATAATAATAATAATACAGTACAATGTACAGTAGCAATAATATGAGTTATAAAATATACAAAAAATGACCATGACCCTATAAAACATTGGAGCAACTTCAGAATACCCAGTAACCTTGAAGAGATATTAAGCAACTGCTCCTGTGGTCCCGCAGCTTTTAAAGATGTATATAAAGCGGGCGGGTGATCTGACGTTTAGTTAACTAAAATATTGAGCTTAATCTACAGTCTAAGATCCTTCATAAAAGCGCGATATTTTTTTAAAAACCTGTGAAGCCGAGGATGAAGCGCGATTTCATACCACCGTCTATTTACTCTTGACAAGGGGACTAGCTCAAAAGGGTGCAGCTTTTCGAATATCAGAAACAGAACTTCTTTCGGGAGAGACTCCATCTTGGATGATAACACAAATGCTTCATGTAATTCCATCACAAAAATTCTTCAACATCTGTTCAGTTCCAGCTTCTCACGGTAAACATGGCGGACATCTCTCTCCAACATCATTTGTTTTAGTGTCTCTTAGAAGCGGGCAAGATAGTTCTGTGGTGATTGCATTAACGATGTCTGATGTAATTAATACAGGTCCTTCTGAAAAGGACAATGTAGGAAACGTGCAAGGTAAATCAAATTACCCGCCAAGTTTTGGCATGGCGACAGATGTTGCTACAGAAAAACCAGCCGCTTCCGAAACTGTGATAGCGTGCACTCAGAAAGAACCTTCAAGTTTTGAACACAAGGGAATTCAGCTTCAGGAGAGTTTGAAAAGCGACCAGGGAAGTCTTAATATTATTGGGCAGGAAGTTGTTAGAAATGAAGAAATGTGTGATTCAAGAGACTCAGACCATAAGGAAAGATCAAGTGATGACAAACTTGTTGAAGATAAGCGAATACAAGATCAAGGATGCCCTGCTGAAATTGTAAAACGCGATCTTCTTGAGGAAAATCCGAAAACAATTCAATTAGGAAAACCGAGTTATTTAAGCGGTCAACTGCAACAAGAAAAAGATATTGAAGTGAATAATCAGCAACTAACTGATGTGGTTGAGCAGGATACTTCATGTAGTGAAAACAAAGATGTTATTGACTCGGTCACTGTTGATAACTGTGAGAAAAGAACAAATGAGGATAAACTTGAAAAAGATACACCAATGGAAACAGAGGAATACAGCAACCAATTGTATGGTTTCTTTTGTATTGTTTATTAGTGGCATAACATCACGTTTTAGTAAAATTCAACTGGTGGTCTATTATCCATGCTGCATGTTGATTGATTGAGCTACTTTTAGGCTATAGTAGTAGCAAAAAGCGCCGGATTTTTGGCGGCAAAAAAGGATTTAAGTCTTACTTTAACTAGCTAAAGTTGTTTTGTCTCGCTATTTTTAGTTGGATTTTATTAAAACAATTATTCCTCTCGCCCTCATGGCCTCTGAGTCAATAGCCTATTCGGCCTTCGACCTCAAGGGCTATTGACTCAGAGCCCATTCGGGCTCAATTGTTGATTAACCTGTGAACAGGCTCTCTGAGTAGCCCCCTGTCTGCTCATGCTTTCTAGATTTCTTTATTATTATATACTCCACAAGAGGGCCTGTTCACACTTAACATAATTTTAGGATTGTGTTCCAAGTTTGTTTAACACTAACCTAAGGCTGTCAGAACTGGAGTTTGAGCAGTGTGTGGAAGAACAATCTGAAATCTGCACAAAGGGCAATGGACAGGAGATACTACAGACACAGTACACATGCACAAGGAAAGTAAAGAAAATTGTCAGGCAAATTGCATCAATTAAAGGGGAGTGGGCTGGGCATGTCACTGCGCTATAGATAACAGACAAACTCTGAGGGTTACTGAATGGTGTGTTGGGGAGGGTACAAGGTTTGAGATGCTGGCATTATGACATTGTTGAAGAAACTGCATGACTGACCGAGAATAGATTGGCGAAAGACCGAAGGCTACATCCGCCTGTGCATAGACAGAGCCAAAATAACTAACTAACTAACTAACTAACTACTCATGAAGATTTCTTGGTACATTTTTTTTTTTTCTTTTTTGCATTACAGAGTTTCCACAATTAGATACAACTTCACAACTTCACCCGAGCAAGTGACAGGAGCTTGGCAAGATTTTGAATCACCAGCGTCAAACTTTCTAAAGGGTTGCAAATGGTAGGTAACTCATAAATTATGGGTGGGAAAAAAGAGGGGGGCACTGAGAAGGGAAGGGAGGGTGGTGGGAGGTACAATAGGTTAAATGCTGCCTGGTTAGCTCAGTTGGGACAGTGTCAGTCTTCTGAGTGGGAGGTCGCGGGTTCAATCCCTAGCCAGACCAACACTCTGGGTCTTTAAATAACTAAGAGGAGAGTGCTGTCTTGGTAAAGACACCTGCCAATGGTTAGACTTAGTGCTTTTTTGCTGTTGTAATTCTCAGTGTTCTTCGTCTTCTAGGGCTAGAAGACAAAAGAGAGTGAGAATTAACCTAGGTTAACAAATTTTAACCGAAAATCAAATTTGACCTGTAACATATATATACATGTTATTGGTCTGAGGTTACAGTAACATTTTATGATTTTTAGGTTGATTCTCAATTTCAGTTCCTTTTAATTTACTGTCTGCCTGCCCTAACCACTCATGAATTAGAGTTACAAGACAAAGGAAATTAGGAATCAGACAACATTGGAAAATTCTAACCTGAATTGAATTTTGACCTATAACATACATACTGCTAACTCTTTACAAAGCGTCCCCATTTTATCCTTTTCCCACCATCTTAACATTCTACAATTTTACAATCTCCTTACCCAGTCTTTCCCTTTTGTTTGTTTACCCAATCTAGGTCACCTGATGGTTCATGTGTACTGACAAACAGTGATGACAACGTGTTGAGAATATTTAACCTTCCTGTGGACTTGTATAATGGGACAGCTGTGCATGGACTGTCAGAAATGGTATGTATATAGTTTGATTCACACCATAGGTAGCTTATGTCACCACGGCATGCTTATGTACTGTATTATCAATAATCCTCAAATGTCAGGGGTAGGTTTTACGCAGTAAATGTAAATGTATTAAGTTTATTGTCCTGTACATTGCTTTATGAAGCTTTCTACCTCTGCAAAATGGAACAGAATGGCAATTACACCAAATTACTCTGTTGCATTAGCTGTTCATGATATCTGCTTTAAAGGGAACCTCCACTTCAACAAAAAGATAACTTTAAATCACAGGAAATAACTGTTACAGTCAAGTCAATCTAAAATATTTTTAAAGAAAGCGTTTGTATCCGAAAGAAATAACTTTTAGATTCGCCTATTTTTGTTTTCAAATTTTGCGGGCGTCGCCATCTTGAATAATTGTGACGTGTAATGGTTGCCCCATTGTTATTAAACAAAAGCTCTTTGTGTCAGAACAATAGAGCAACCGTAACACGTCACAATAATAATTATTCAAGATGGCGGCGCCCGCGAAATTTGAAAGTGAAAATAAGCGATTTTAAAATTCACTTTTCCTGATATAAACACTTTTTTTAAGACAAATTTCGAACAAATTTGTTTATCAACATAATTTTATTCGATTTAAACTTATTCTGTAGTAAGAGTGGAGGTTCCCTTTAAAGTTATCACAACAAACTGACCTAGGACTGATAAACTTTACCAACTTCCAAAAATGATCATTCCCTTTCTGACAATTCCTCCAATCTCTATAAAGTACTACTCCTTAAAATTTCTCCAAACTGATATTTCATCCTTAAAGTTATCTGATTTGTATTGACAGTGCACAGGTCATAAGAATGACATACTGGTCACCTGACCTGTGGACAAGGAAAGCTTTTTTGGAGCAAATCAAAGACATTGAATATTTAATTCATTTCTTTATGATTATTTGACTCTCCTTTTTATTTCTGTAATATCCAGGTCTTTTAGTCAATGTATAAAACTTAACCTAAAACATTTTTAACATAAACATTTTTATATCTCCTGCAACAGGTATCTGTATTGCAGATGCCTGAGGGTGAGACTGTCTACGATTATTGTTGGTATCCATTTATGTCATCACTTGACCCAGACACATGTTGGTAAGCATTTGATAATCATTTATCTCACCCGGTCCCAATACAGTGTGTTCTTAATTCACTCGCATGCAGTGTTACAGCCTCAGTTGCAAGCATCCCTATTATAAGCTAACCCCACATTGCAAACCGGTAATATCAGGTAGTAATAATTTTGGAGATGACCAAGATGACACCACATTGTATCATAATGTTCAGGTTGGTCAAAATCTAGCTTGCTCAGCTCCCACATTGCCTAAATGTCAAGAAGGCTAAACAATTGTAAACATGATGCATAAGTTAGTGGAGACATCTTCTATATTCTGTCAAACATGATTAATGATATTGTTACAGGTGCTAGTGTGGAGGTGTGTGTGGCCAGGTGGTTAACACCTCAAACTCCAGATCTAGAGGTCCGGGGTTTAAGCCTTGCTTGTGACGTTGTTCCCTTAGACGAGGAACTTTACTCCACTTTGTCTCTCTTCACCCAGGTGTATACATGGGCGCTGGCGACAAACTGCTAGTTTGTGACAGACTAGCATCCCGTCCAGGGGGGAGTAGCAATACTCCTAGGCATGCTTCATGCTAAATAAACAGCGATAAGCTCCGGCTGTTTGGGCCTTTGGCTTGTGAACGCCTTTACCTTAACCTTTTTACCTACAAGTGTTAGTGAGCATTCCATTCCTTTCTGTTTCTGTAGTTTGTTGAGCAGCAGTCGTGACCATCCAATTCACATGTGGGATGCTTTCACTGGTTCAATAAGATGCACTTACAGAACTTACAATCACTTGGTAAATTCTCCTTCTATATTTTGTAATGATGTTATCTGCCATGATTTATCATTATATACAGTCAACTCTCTTTATAGCAGACACTGTAAGGACACAAGTTAGTATCCTCATAAGCGAGAGTCCGTAATAGTGGGAGTTTATTTCAGTCAAACGTCTGCAAGTTATATTTGCCTGGGATTTAGCTTCTGTCCTTTATAGTGGGGTGTCTACAAGGCGAAAGTTGACTGTAATGTGTAGGTCCTTTGTTAAAGCCCGGTATGAATTGGCAAAATCCATTGCTTTATAGTTATGATTTTTCCCTAATTATTTATTTTGTTAAGTGGAAATTTCATTAATAAATTTGTAAATCCAGCCCACCATTTTTGAACATTTTTATCCCCCCAGGATGAATTAGTTGCTGCGAACTGTTTGTCGTTTAATCTTGATGGCAGTTGCATCTATGCTGGTTTCAACAAGATGGTTAGAATATTTGATACAGCTAGACCAGGACGAGACTTCCAAGAGAGACCAACCACTGGTACGTTTATTCTCGCCTGTTTTAGGCAGTCAGATAGTGGAGAGTGATGAAAAATGGAGAGCGGAGGAAAAAACACAGAAAAAAGGGAAAGGAGCAAGAAGGAAACCTTCTCCACCCTCACCTGCACAGGAAAATGACAGACTTGAAAGATTTTGTTGAGTGTAGTAAAATAGTGTCAGGAGGCATATGTCCTGTGAAAGAGTCAACCAGAACTGTCCTGTTAGTTTATGTTGCAGTTAAAATCCGTTCGCAGGTTAAACCAGTGTTTAGCTTAGTTCGACTCAGAATTTCCCGCTTCTCAGCCCTAATTATTCGTAGGAGAAAAAGGGAATTTATTTTTAACCTGAGAACCAATTTTAGCTACCACATTTCCACTTGAGGAATTTCACGAGCACCACACGTTTTCAGTGGTGACCAGCCATAATTTTTTTTCCTCAGTCTCTAGAATTTCTAGGAAACATACTATCACACGTTTCTTTCCTTTGTTATTTCAGTAAAAAAGGAAGGCCAAACTGGAATCATCTCAAGCATTGCGTTTAGTCCTGACAACTCCGGAATGTATGCTCTGGGCTCCTACTCTAAATCAGGTATCAATCAGAAAAACGTTGCCGCAACGAAAAGCACTCAACCACAGTACATCATTTGTATGTTTAATCTGAAGAGAAATACAGGGAGACGAAGCTTAAAACTTGACCTGCTTTAGCGTTAACCGGCGTTCTCTCACAAGCACCCATCCTTAACACTCTGTTGGATGGAATGTTTACACCAGCGAACAAACTTCGCCTCTGCCGTAGTAGGAGATTCCATTTCTAAGTTTACTTTAGTAGCGCAGTCTTCTTGACACAGCAGCTAATATTCCTTCTCAGTAATGAGTATACACAAGCTGTTGCGAAATACCTTGAAAATAGCCATCCTGACGAATTTGTCCATATTCGCTATATTTGCCAAACACAGTTATTAATGTAAATTATTATTCATTCAAAATATTTCCCCTATTCTTATTGGCTAAAAGCACACGTCTAATTCACCATAATCAGTTACTGATGACCAAATTTGGAAGAAATTTGACTTTAACGAGGAAATGACGTCAAAAATGCAGCGTTTTCGCAGGTTAAGGCACCGTTAACCGAGAAGACCTGGGGACGAGGTTGAGTTGTTTTGGTTGTGAACTTGAAAAAATGGCGGACATTTCACTCGTTTCAAGAGTAAGAACTAGGCGAAAAAATAGCTAAAAACATGGCAAGAACAGCAAGAAGACAACTCGAAGGGCGACATCTGCTATTTGGAGAATATTTGCGGAGCTGGACAAACCTAAACGTGCACTATCGAAGATGATCAATGAATCGATGAAGGTAAGCATGTTTTAGCTATGTTTTTAAACTAGGAATTATTTTGAATGAATAATAAAACAGTTATTGAATTCGGCTTTCGTATCATATGAAGAATTATGGAGATCTCGGAGGGTGTTATCCGCCTCGGCCTACGGCCTCGACAGATAACACCCTCCTCGATCTCCATAATTCTTCATAAGATACTCAGCCTCATTCATTAACTGTTAAATAAGTGACTAAAGTAGTCATAGCTGAGTTGGTAATTGTGGCAAGTTGTGGCCGCTATAATTTCATCATAAGACCAAATCTTTTGAACTTTAAAACCTCGTTCATTGTCGAAGAAAGGCCGTGGTGAAACTTTTCCAAAGCCGAAACAAATTTGCATTTGAGAATATGAGATGAGGAGGGAATAAAATATTGTTTCGTAAAGCTCAACTGTACAGCTCAACCTTTTTGATAAATACATTTTGCCTTTTTAGTTGGTGTGTACTCAGAATCGGATGGCCAGCTGATATTTTTGCTCCAAGGACAACAGGGTGGGGTAACGCATGTCATGTTCTCTCCTGATGGCACGAAATTGTACAGCGGTGGCAGAAAGGTATTGAGTGAAAGAACTTCAAATAACATTGCACCCAAAGTTAGATAGCCTCCCCGCAGACGTCCTTTGAGGTTCGTTTGTCACGCATTCATTTCTCCGCCACGGACGGTCCGTGGGGGAGAAATGAATGCGTGACAAACGAACCCCAAAGGACGTCTGCGGGGAGGCTAAAAGTTAGAATGAGACCAGTGTTGCAGGATTGTCCACGGGTTAGCTTGCGTAGCTGGCGTTATTGTGTAGTAGTCGAGTGAGATTTGGCGGCGGAGCCGTTGTAATATAGTCGAGTGAGATTTGACGGCGGAGCCGTCACGAGCGGCGAAGCCGCGAGAAATACCGCGGTATTTCAACCGCCTCGTCCCTACTCTCTTTTTTTGGAACACGGCTCCGCCGCCAAAACTTTAATCTCGCACCCACACAATACCGCCAGCTACGCAGGCTATCCACGGGTTAGCAAATTACACGCGAGCAAGTGAGGCAAACGCGCGGGGTGATCCCGCGCTTAACAAGCTTACTTGTGCGGCAATCTCAAGGGTCTCCTAGCCTTCTAATCCAAAATTTAAAAAGGGGACAAAGTTTGCGTTCTTGGTGAAAATTAAAAGCACTGCTTAACACTTTCCTGTTGTGCTTTTAGATGTTATGTTGTTGTACCAGTAGTTTTACTTTGGGGTTATAAACTTTTAAAATTGAATGTAACTTTCCAAATAAAGGCTCTCAAAGAACGTTTTCTTTGATGCCACGTTTAGGGAGTTCGGCTCTTTTGGCAGTGCAAAACGTAAGAAAGTGGCGAAAGAGTTTATGGCCATGACTAGAAATCATAGCTAGATTACGCAGAAATATTACACGGCGGAGGGTGTTACAGCGCCCTCGATCTGCACAGTTCTTCATATCATACTCGACCTGATTCAAAAATGGTTTATTTATGCTCTATGTTTACGTTTTCTTACTTTCACTTTCGAGTGTGCAATCCGTGATTAGTAATGCCTACCGCAGACTTGGCTTACGGAGTGCATTCAGATATTGTTTTTGCTTTACATACAGGACGATCCGAGCTGGCCCAGTCTGCCGGGCTGGGTCGCTTTGTCAAGTTGCCGAGCTGGCTAACAAAGGTTTTGTTTAGTTTATTTAGTTTACTCAGAAGCTTCTGGTTTAGTTCAGCTGAGATCTCGGAAACGCTCCGGCAAATCGGCCCAGCCCGAGTCAAATAATCAATTAAGTGTAATCTACATTCCTCTGCATTGTACGCGTAAAATGGTTAGCACCCTAAAATTGTTTCACGTTATACAGTAACGTTTTTACTAACTTGCACCTTCATTGTGTCGGATAGGATGATGAAATCATATGCTGGGATGTTCGTAACCCTGGCACAGTTCTGTACTGCATGAATCGTTCGGTGGATACCAATCAGAGAGTCTACTTCGATATAGACAGGTAACTGTCCAACGAAGGCAATAATCGACGAGTTAGACGCTTAAAAAAACACGTTGCTTTGATTTCACTTTGGCTTTATTGCCATTTGTAATTCGTTTCGGTTGAAGCTCCCTCTTTTTAGCCGGTTGGTACTAGCAAATTATACTATCCTTCAATTTCTGATTGTATTTGTCTCAATAAGGTGTAATGTGGTTCACATCTTTTTAGTTAAAAAAAAAAACTTTATGAGACATGCACGCTACACCATTTTCAGTCAATAGAAAAAAAGAAAATTCCCTTCTTTTCCATGATCTCTTATAATTAACTTTTTCCACTTATCCAGTGACCTCCACCATTAAAATGTCTCTTTGTCTTTTGACACTCTGTTTTTCTAGTGTTTCAACGTAAGCAAAACTCAGAACACCACAATGTTCTTAGCCTGCGTAGCAAACGTTTCTGATGGAGTTATTACACAAAAAAGTGGAAGAAGTGGGAGGAGAGAAGAGGAAACTCCCTTTCTCCCCTCCTTTGTCGGCGAACTCGCGCGGAAACTCTTGCTACGCAAGCTACGATGTTCTGACCTGTTATCACGCCTGATGGCTTACCCACTAAGTAAAACCCAGCTTCATTAGCTTTAATCTGGACACTGAGCCGCTTCTCAGAAATATTACACTTGCCTTCCACCTCTTCGGCGCAGGTCTGGACAATACATCATATCTGGTAACGCCGACGGTACTGTTTCTATCTGGGATTCAACAAATCCACCAGTAACCAGTGAAACAACAACAGAAGCAACACTTCAACCTGTCATGCAGTTTGTAGCCCATGGAGACTTTGTGAATGGTGTCAGGTGAGTATTCTTGTTTACAAGCCTAACGGAATTTTTTTCTTCGCCGTTCCAGTCCCGTCCAGGCTTTGCACAGTCTTGAAAAGTCCTTGAATTTTCTGCAGCTTTGAATGTAGTGGCCTGAAAAGTGTTTTTCAACGCTTTTTGGTTGTCCAAGACAGAATATAAATCGTAAGCTCAGAGAACTTAAAGTGATTTACATAAAGCGTTTTTTGTTATATACAATAATTGACTATGAATATAAGACAAGTGAACTGAAAAATGTAGAGAAGTTGGTGGAGCAAACAGTTCAAGCCTTAAAATCCTGTCGGAATATACTGGGAATGTGCATTTTTGTACAATCTGTGAAATTACATTCCCGGTAGGTGGTCCTTGAAAAGTCCCTAAAAGATGGTTACAGTTATTTGTATGAACCCTGTCCGTATCTCGAGGGTACCGGCTATTACCGGGCCGGAAGGCTGTTAATAGTTACGTGTTTGTGTTGGAGGTGTTAATAGTTTCCTTCAAAACGATTCTATTAGATTATCAGATACAGAAACAAGATGGACTGACGGGGGGCTAGAACGCGCATTAACATTGGATTTAGATTTTAAAATATGGCATCTGGCCCGAAAGTTACCGGAGGGTCTCAATGAGGTTAACTGTCAGCCGTAGCCTGCGTTGCAACCGGCCCACGCACTCGTCTAAACGATTTGTATAGTCCGTGACGCTCTATATAGAAGGTTTAGAGCGTCTGCGACGCCTGTAATGTCAGCCATTAAACAGCCTAAAAATACCGTTAACCTTGAAAAATGTAGCCTGAAATTCATCCGATTGCTTCGAGTCGTTTTCTCCTGTGAGGGAGTAATAACGACTCGAAGTAATCGGATGAAATTCAGGCTATGAAAAATGCACATTAAGATAAAAACGGTCAAGAAGTTTTTAAGTATTTTATATCTCACTTCTAATCTTTACGGGATTCTGTCTCCTGAAGAATCTCTAACCTGGAAAAACCAGTTCCCATGATCTAAAAAACACTCTTTCTAGACCTTACAAGGCCACACGGCTTGCTTATATCTGAATATTTTGAAATTTCAGTTTCCATCCCAGTCTTCCCCTGCTGGCGACAACCTCTGGCCAGCGGCAGTTTGCAGAGCCTGGTTCGGACAGTGATGAGGATCACGTCAACGCAATGGATCAAGATACTGGGATACAAGTGGATAATTCACTAAGAATATGGACAGGTGCGTGAGGCCTGGGGCAGAGGTTGGCAACAGTACCAGCTAGTCCCCAGGGCTTTTCACTTTTTCTAAGGGAAACACGCTGGGGCCGAGGTTGACAACAGTAATGCGACCAGAAATGAAAGACAAAGGAACGAGGACAGGGCTGCTCCCTCAAACAACAAACGAACTGTACTATGATGCCAACATTGGGTTGATCATTATATATTAATAGTTGCCAAATTTTAAGGTAATTAGGTTTTAACCCACGAACCTTCAAGTTCGCGGAGAAAAAAGCAAATATAAACATTGTGTTAAAAAGATTAACTTTATTTTCGCTTCCATCGCTGTTCCTTATTCTACAGCAGACGTTAATCGAGATAAAGAACGAATTTGTTCGATTTAACACAGAAGTCAACATGGATGTCCCCTGAGTCCCTTAGACGCCACGGAAAACAAAGATGGATCCTACCCTAAATGGAGCAAGTGGGGATGGGAAGGAATGGTGATAAAGGCAGACCGCGTGTTCTTACTCTGGGCTAACCGTTAACGAACCAGAATAAGGCCGAAACAACTGTCCGTGGCTGCAAATGCGTATAAGTGATTTGGGAATGCGTACGCAAGCGAAGCACTGGGCGCACAGTGCAAACCGGCAAGGTATTGGGCACACCACGAAAGATTGTCATGGGGCTTTAACTTTCGAACACGTCTAATTTTGAAACGCTTGTACTACTACATGTACCTTGCCGATCACAAAGATTTGAACTGAAGCATGGATGTCGCACGCAGTTTTAATCCGTCAAGTTCGACATGCTCAACAGAGTGAGTGTTTCTCTAGAACTACTAACACACCCTGCTTCTAAGAGGGTGTTCTTACGTGGCAAACTAAATGCCGAATGATATTGAGTTCTCCGTGACAATGGTGCAACCTTTAAGGCAAGCCCAAGAAAAAAACTACAGGATGTTGACACAAATGTTTCAGGTTGTATAAAAATTTATTACTAATAGATTTTAGGTGTTGAATACTCCGGTCGCACTCTCGAAAATACAAATAAAAGGTATTGGTCTATATTATTCACGCAATTCTTTTTTTCTCCATGTCAAGTTAATTTCTAATCGTAACAATGGCAGAATTTTAGTTGTTTTAAATAGTTCGATCTTGCATCCATGTAAGAAAAATAAAGTGTCAGCTGCCAAGTTCGAGTTCTTGTATTTCCTTTATGAGCGATGCCTCAGATGATACCTTTTCAAGCTGAAAAAAGGAAAGAAAAGTGTCTTTTCAAAAAGGATTACAAAGCTGTGCTCTAGCAGAGCCCTGTGACCCGTGGCGCCTAACTCTTGTTCTCGGGCGACTAGAAAATCTTTGCTTTTTCATACAAATTATATGCTGGGCACACTGGATTTCACAAGTCCAGAGCACTGGGCTCCCTTCAATTTTTCTTAGAGCACAGCCTTGGATTAAATCACACCATGCAGATCTTACTATTGCTTACAAGCACTGGGTTTATACATCTTCGAAGCGGATTTGGGAGGAGTGGCTTATAACCGGATAGAAAAGCGCTTCGAAACAATTTATAGCAGAGTTAATCAAAATACGTTTTGTGCTTTAAAACGTCATAATAAATCGATTACGAGGCGGGGGGGGAGGGGGTTAAACATTGGAGCTAGATGGCGGCTTATATCCAGGGAGTATTTAATGGGCCATGTCCGAGTTCCCCAGGCCTATGTATCGAAACGAGGTTAAGTGCCCAGCCCTTGATATGAAAATGATTTTTCATTCTCATGTAAATAAAACTCATTTTCATAAGAAAGGTTGTGTACTTGGCCTTATTTTGAAAGTGAGGGTTTTTGGAACTCGGGAGTGGCCTATTGGATATATTTTTTTCCAAGTAGATGGGCTTATATTTAATAGTTTAATATGGCTAATCATGGTGCTACATAGAACTGACGTCAGTTTCTGAATTTAACGAAACAGATGAGATACAACTTCTTTATGTTGTGGGCGAATGAAAGAAAGGACAGTCAGTATGAGAACGTAAGATCATTTAGCAACAAATTTCCGTAATAAGCTCTGTAGCCTGCAAACAGGCTCACTTAGTTCGGGAAAATTTTCGGCGCGCGAGAAGATCACTTTTCCTCGCCCCATTCCTCACCCTGAACTCGCACAGGTAAGCCTGCTCGCAGGTTATGAGCTCTGTGAGATAAACTGCGGACGGTCCAAAACTATTTACAACATGGGGATGAAAGTGGCAATCTGACCTGATTTTTTTCCAGTGTCTTTCCTGATCTCTGCTGTTCCTTCAAGTCTTGAATTTGTCGCAATTTCTAAAGGGGAAGATAAGGATATATTGCAAATGTTATATAAATTATCAAACTTCAGTCAGCGCTAGCAAACCAAAGAAACATTGATAATTCAATACAACGCGCATTTACAAACAACAACAAAGTAGTAAGAGCTTGGGAAAAAAAAGGTAAATTGTGTCCAGTCAACTATCCCCTCAAGAACACCCTTAAAAGACGAATAATGCCCTGTCGCTGTCAATGTTCAGTCCTTTCTCTTGGCTTTCCACAGGTCAGACACTCGCTTGTTCCAGGCTCTCAGGTAGTGGGAACGAACGAAACGAAACTGAGAGAAAGCGAACAGGCTAGGACTTTCTCCTTTCCTCTCTTTTTCATTTTCTTCGCGCTCAGTTTTCTTTTCTCTCTTTCATTTTCTCCGCGCTCGGTTTTCTTTTCACTTGTTCCGACTCATGACTGAGAGCCTGTAATAATGAGGGCTCTTTGGGGCGCGAAGCGCGAGACACGCTGAAACAGCTGAAACACCCTAGAGGAGGCTCGCTCCCCAAAACTCACCTGAGCGCCCGGTCACCCTGATTTCAAGCTGTCCGCCTTCGAAAGAATTGATTGTACTCCACCAAAGTGATCTAATGTCCATATACAACAGGGGTGTCACTAAGGGCCGGGGGAGGCACGGATTTCCCCGGCTACTATAAGCATGACCCGTAGATATTCTCATACTGAACAAAAGAAAAACGGAACCCAAAGAACTTCCTAGCCGTTTAATTCCCTACCTACTAACTACGTTTACCTTGCAACTTGAAATATAAGTGATAGCCCGTCGTTAGGGAAAAATACTTGGTTTATACTTGAGAATTTCTTTGATTTTCCGTAGACCACATGTAAGAAACAACACTTTTAAAATGAATTCCATATATTCGTACCTTCTTCAAATTTTTAAGTTTCTTTTCTTTCTCCGGTGGAAGAGTTGTGCTGGTCACTACAGATGAGGGGGGAGGAGTGGGTAGAGTTGGACTCGAAGCCTAAAAACAAAAAACAAAAACAAATGATAGTGCTCAGTGAGGTAAGTACGGAGGGGCAGTTAACATTCATTTAAGCACGTACAAAGATAGGTAAGGTAAAGAAGGCCCACAATGACATGGCTGGAACTCGCCCCGTGGTGGCGGTTTTTTGTCGTCCTCGGTTCAGCTTTCGCGCGGCTGAATCTCTTACTTCACGAACCAGAGAAGGAAAACACACCAACAAAACCGCCAACTACGCAGACTAACCCCTTTTTCACAGCGTTTTCCCGTAATTTGCAAATAAAGCAAACTGCTCTTCTTGGTTTGCAACCACTTGACAAAGCGTTCATGTTGGGGGTCAATACAATCGAATTTTTTCTCGAAGAATTTACATGAAAATAGAGTTTAGTTCCCAGAGGAGAGAAATGATTTTGTTCTTGACCACCAACATGGCCGCCGTGACGTCACGTGCAAACCAGCCTATGGCGTACATTTTTTCCAAACAGAACGCGCTCTCATTGGTTACTTCGAAGTCACAGGACATCTAACAATGAAACTGTTTCCCGCCAACAGTTTCTGTGCGGGCAACATTGCAAAATAATTTATGACGTCACAGGGTAACAAAGTAATGAGTTACCCACAAATGTTTAAAAAACCTCTCGCTGAGAAAATTTTGCACACGTAGGAGTTCCTCTTTGTGGGTATTAAAACAAATCACTTAATAACTGGGTCCTTAGGGAAAGTAGTAAACTTTAATTCTAATTCCCTCGGCGATTCTCGGAAACAAAATTAACAGTTTTCCGTGAGTGTCAGATATTTCCAGAAAGTCGCACGTAAAAAGTAAAGAGTATAACCTCTTCAGAAGTTTCTTGTTCCTGTTTCGCTCTTGCTTTTGCCTCTCTCTTTTTCTTGTTCTTAGCTGCAGATTTGGACATCTCCTGTCCCTCTTTGGGTTTCATATTTTCAGCCGGTTCATATTCGCGCTGAAATAAAAAGCGTAGATTAAAATCTTTCACGCCTACGAGGGTAAAAAGCAATATTAAATAAGTATCGAGATTGTATTTCGGCCATGTCAAGTGATCCAGAGCAGTACAGCATTACAACGAAAGTAAAGTGAACATATCTCACCAATTTAACGGCTGGGGCAGTTCCTCTAAGACTTGGTGGTCGGTAAACCGCTTTAGCTGCAAATGAAAAAGACACAACATTGGTGTTACTAAAAACAAAGTGAACGGTACAAAGTCTAACAAATCATTATCCAACTGTACAGGTAACAGCAAAAATGTAACTTGTGATATTTATTTTGGAAAAGTCTCAAGGTCGGGTAAAACGATTTTTGGGGTTCACAACATATTCAATAAGAGGTGAAAAGACGTTTTTTAAAAAATTCACAACCGGGCAGATTTCTACTTTGGCGGTTCAATTCAGTTGCAGCAGACAGGGTTATTACTGTTACATGGGTACTTATCAGAGGAGATTCTGGTGATCCAGTATGATTTGGATACCAGACGATTCGAAGGAGAGACACTCAAAAAAACAGTTGCTCCTAGAAACGTAGTATCAGTTCATGAGTAGGAAGCCTGTTGCAGGCATGCAAACAGTTAGGACAGCGCAAAGAAAAACGAGCGAGAAGTGGCGTGGAGGGGGGGTGGGGGTAGGGAAAGAGGGATCCTCCTCTCTTCTGCACCCCTCTTCCTTTCTTTTGCTTTTTTCCCCTGCTCTCCATCTCCCGTCTCTCTTTGAATATCAGTAGGATGACTAAAATACGTGGAATTCCACTGTTAGATTCAGTCCAGTTTCGAGTTCGCTATGACCGCTGAATTAAAGAAGTGAAGACGCATTTTCTACAGGCTTAACCTCCATCTGAAATAATATATTCACAAAATTCTACGAGAAGAAGACCTGTTTATTACTCTGTCTATTGTGTATACTGTATTCAAATTTCAAACACTTACTTGCCGGAATTTCTGAACATTTTACTTTATGTCGAGGCTAACCCTGAATGAATGTGTCAAATAATGTTTGTATTCAGCGGTAATTTTTAATTCGTAACTGGACTATTGATTAGAAGTTCGAATTTTATTTCCAATGACTGCAGTTGACGTCTCCTTAACAAAGCACCAACACCAGCCATACTTACCTTTCTCTTGTTCCTGTTTTGTTATGGACGGGGCGGCCTGGTAACTGATAACTGGTTCCTTGAATGTATCGCCTTGAACCGGCTGCCATTTAACCTAATAAACAAGAAAACTCCAGTCACTTCATTGACCTCATAGTAATCTAGTAGCCTTCGTTTAACCGAGATTTCACAATATTTTCTGCGTAAAAGATGGTATCTAAAAACAACTCTTTTTTGACAAACCTACCTCCCAGAGTTCACCCACACTCTTTTCATGTAATAGTTTCCCCGTGTAATGCCAAATTTTATACCTACACGGAAAATTAAACACAAGATTTATTAATAACAAAGCCACTAGCCTAAGAAAACAGCGGACATTTCGCCACGCCCAAACTGTTTCACCGCGAAATGACGCCTGACAAACAAGCGCAGAAAATGCCGTTTGTAAGGAGTAGGGAACTTAGATCCTGGTGGAGTGGTCAACCATTCAGCTGCTAGAGCACTCAGGCTAATACAATACAAGCTTACAAAGGGGTACAACTTTTTTAGTAAGCACATCATTAAAGATCATGCACAAGTAGCTATGATGTTAGCGTTTTTGAAAAATGATTAAAACCAATATAGCCCGCAAAACTTACTCACCCATTTCCTTCCTTAAGCCTTGGAGACGTTGTTGCTGTCAAAATGTGTTCACCATCTGGAGACCACTCAAGTGATGTTGAGTCACTTGCCTGTTGAGCAAGTCAAGATATACCAGTTAAATTTTACAAAATTTATAATGTAAAATTTCAGTTTTACCAAAAAACATAAAATTCTACGACATCGCAACATGGATATGAATGAAAATTTTTCAGTTCCAAAAAAAAATTGTTTCGTTTCGCTGTAATTTTTTTTTGTCTTTGTTTGTTTGACAAATGCAAGTATATTACCTGGGGTTTACTTATTAACTTGAAATCCTTTCTACTCCAGAGCTCCTGTAAAAGTGAGTTAAAAAAACTCTTAATTAATCTTTGGCTCAGCCTGGTCCCTACGGCGCAGTCAATCCTGGACTCTACAGTGAGCTGTGACGTCACCGAGAGATACTCGCCTACTCTTTCCCAGACTTCGCGCGGACAAAGGGCCAAGAGAGAACGACTAGGAACTAGGCTGTCTTTGGCTATGTTCCCATTATACCGGATAGCATTTGCGTCGGCAAGAGAACCATACCCGGATAGATAGGGCTTCTGTTCACGCATAAGAACGGGTTATTTTGGCGCGATTTCTGTAACGGGGCGAACCTACGCCTAGTTGACGCCTAGTCTGCTACACAGTCGGTTTTAGTGTCGTCACGCAACGCTCCTCCCCACCGTTGCGTGACGACACTAGCAGACTAAGCTTCCCCGCGCCGATCTCTAAAGTGAAGAGTCACACATCGAATCGGTATTCACTGGATAGCTTCACGTGTCGGCATAAAAAGCTATGCGGTACGGTGTAAGCCAGGATATTGTAACCAGGATAAATATTGTAACGTACAAGACCAACAATTGATAAATAATATCAGACTAGATGTACCGTTAAAAGTGAACTCTTATTTGACATTTATTTTGGCAAGTTAATTTAAGTGGATTTACAACATTTTATACACTACGAGCAGTCTCTCGGTTTTCTTCCTCCGTCGAGCAAAACGCGCGAGACACGAAAATGACCACTAGCTTGACTGAAGCCGCGAGACGGGGAGTAACCTCATTCCCAGAGTTCTCTCCTACCCAGTAGGAGAGAGAACCTGGAAACGACGGGGAGCAGTTTAGCCTCCTCTGCAGACGTTCATTTGGCTCGTCACGGAACGCGTTACGAGCCCCTGAAACGTCCGTGTAGGAAGCTGGGAGTAGTTCTACTTTGTGAAACAAAATCTGTACATGCCGCGCGTTCTACCGGCTCAAGGCAAACTTGTTTTGCAGCAAGTGACATCACACCCACGTGTGCCACGTGTGGAGTGACTCCCGCTTAATTTAAGCGATCGCTATCCAAGCAACTTGTAACAACCTGATATGTTGCATGCAAGTCAGGAGTGATTAGTGGGCGGTAAAATGCACAACATCATTTTTAACCCGTTTGCAGCAATGTTGCAAAACAAGTTGCACGTTTCTGTTACTCATTTTACGGTAGCTTTACAGGGGCGGATCTAGGGGGAGGGTGCAGGGGGTGCGCACCCCCACCCCCCGAAATGCCCTTCGGTTTTCTAATACAACTGGTATTCTGCAAAAAAAAACTATGTGGTTTATTGGCGTTGAAGCAGAGCAAGAGACGAGTGCACCCCCTCCTAAAAAAAATCCTGGACCCGCCCCTGCTTTAAGCTTCTGGGATAGGCATAGAAGATCATCAGAAATCACCTACATCGGTACATGTATAAGGTGGCAAGCATAAAAACTATTTTCAATAGCAAAACGACTCTAATAAAACAGGAAAGATAAAGTACAAATAAGAATGTTTTAAAGAACATCATCCTCTTACCAGTTGGCCTCTAAGATTTCCAAATCCAGCCAAACAAATAAGTACCAACAGTTAAGGATAAAGATAATGACTCTGATCCGCAAGAATAATTATAGTTATTATACTAGTTTTTGAATTAAGATGATGTGACCTGCAGAAATACAAAACTAAATAAAATTAAGAACATTGAAGAAGACAACACAATTTAAGCAATTGTAAAGTAATCCCAGAAAAAAATTCAAGGCATCAATGGGATTCAAGCTCATGGCCTCTGCATTAGCCTTGCAGTGCTCTACCAACTGAGCTATGGAGACCTATTTTAAATGCTCTATTTTGTTTCATCCCCTGATCAGATGAAGGTTGTCTGTCAAACAAAGTGACAGCAACACAAAAACAACATTATTATAATAATTTACCTTCTCTCTTTGCAAGAAAAGATCCTTTTGCACCTATGTTCTTTGATATGTCCCTTTTGAAAGGCTCTGAAAGGCAGGTGGCTATGGCCTTTTGTAACATAGCGTTTAGGCTGGAGAAATCACTTCTTACAGGGTAGTGACACAATTATGTACTTTGCATTTATTCTGAGAGCATTTCTTTACAAAAAAAGGATATTATTTCCATGTGGATTAAAGAAGATGTCATTCCTTGGTCCAGTCCCAAAGTCAAACAGTGGATTGCATTTAAGATCAAATAGTGTAGCCTTTGCTGGCATGACTGGTCAAACATTGTCAAGGATGATATATCAGACATTGGAACTAAGGAACACAATTACAGATTCACCAGTAGTTGAAAATGAAACTTGAACAGAGTAAGAGTTCACGTAAACATAGCTAATAAAAAAAAACTATGTTTCTTAGCCTCCATATCATGGCGGTTAAGGTTTTGTGGGGTGCACTGCTGAGGGGTGAAGCCACAAAGCCCTCCCCCACCTTGGCTTTTTTGCGTGCCCGATCAAAATCGCCATGCTACGCAGGCTATTTGTCTCCCAGTATAATTTTCTAAGAAACTACCTAACTACCCCTCCCCTCACCCAACATTTTGACCTAAATGAGAAGTTGGTGTTGACGTTTGGTTAAAGGAAGGGTAAGTGAAATGTCAACAATGGGTTAAGGGAGGAGGAGGTGAAGCATTCACATTGGGTTAAGGGAAGGGTAGGTGAAGTGTTAACATTGGGATAAGGGAGGGGTACATTGTAGGTCAAGCATTAATAATGAATTAAGGGAGGGGTAGGTGAGAAGTGTTAACATTGGTTTAAGGTAGGGGTAGGTCAAGCATCAACATTGAGTAAAGGGAGGAGTACATGTACATGTAGCTACATTGTGTTAAGCATTAGGTGGATTGAACCCAGAATTTCAATTTCCCACAACATATAATATTGAAAAGTTCTCTACATTGGTTTAAGGTAGAGGTAAGTCGAGCATTAACAATGCGTTAAGGGAGCAGTAAGCAGTACATGTCGCTACATTGGGTTAAGCATCAGGTGGATTGAACCCAGAATTTTATTCTTATTGTCCCAAACGGTAATATTGAAAAGTTCTCTACTTACACAGTTACATTATTTTTCCACTAAACTAAGACATTGCTTGCCTTTGTGCCATTCATTGAACAAAAGGATACAACCATAAACCACACAGAATTCTTTGGAGTTTGGACTCCACTGGACAGCATAGACTGGGCCTCTCTTACCTTTGAAAACAAGAAAAGCACATTCAACAAACACATGCACAGTGGAAGTCTACTTTAATGTGATAGTTTTCGGAAATATTAAGCCAAACCAACAGCTTTGTGCAAAAACTCCTTCTTTGACAGAAATACAACCTTTTAGTTATATGCAAAAAAAATCAAACTATTAAAGTTAAAGTTGCTCCTAACACAACCTTGAACAAGTAACCAATCACAAGAAGAGGTCAACTGGCATACATCTGACCAAAATAATAATGCACTTGATGAAGGTCCAGTTTAATCAATTTTGGATTTTTTAACCCATAACTGATTTTTTGTCATTACCCCCCTGCTTAAGTGAATTGATAGATAGGTGGACGTGGGTTAGTGTATTCCTGAATAGGACTGTTGCTGACAGTGACAGATGTTTCATCAGCCTGTGTGGTTTTCATCTTCAGAGAGAGAGTGAGTTGTATCGCGACTTAATTAACCAATTGATTTGGTTGATAACCAGAGTTTATCACCATTAACTGACGTGATAGAACTCACTTTGTCTCTGAAGATGACTACCGCACAGGTTGTCAAAAACGTCAGTCACTGTCAACAACATTCCTTTTCAGGAATACACTCATCCGGACAATCATGCTCCACCTATGACTCTTGGGTTCAAACATTTCACTGATTTGATAGAGTAAGGAGATATTCAGTGTCAATCACTCTCCATATCTTACCTAGCTGTACCATGCTGCTCTCACCAGATGTACTTATGAACTGTAATGTTTGTTCACCATAATATGATGCTCCTGTCTTGTCAACATCAGTTATCGCCATAACAAGGACAGCCGTACCTGAAAACAAGACCAATACATTTTACAAGCATTACTAAGTACTTGCTCATATCATGTAAAGCCTGCAAATAGAGTAAACTTTTGTACAATATCTGGCTGCAATCCAAACATTTTTTAAGGAGCTATGCTTAATAGAGGCATCCATTTGATAACGTTCTTTTTACAAAAAATACAACTGTTTAGGATGCACTAACAGTTGTGTCTGCTTTATTCAGGTTTTACTGAACTATGAGTTTAGTGGGACAACTTATATTTTAAACACTACTACTGTAAAGTTTGACTCACGGTAATGGTATTTTATACTTGGCAATTTTGCAGAGCCATGGAGAGGCATTCTCATGTTTATAATTACCTTTCTTGTTCCACATCATTTTTACTCTGTCAGCTTTGAAGAAACTCTTGTTGGCAAGCACAGAAGCAGGGCTGTCAAAATTCGGATGTCTAAACAGACGTACATACGATGGAGCACCCTAAATGTCAAATTACAACAAATTCAGCAACTACATGTATTTAACCCTTTAAGCCCCAGTATCCACATACAAATTCTCCAAACTGATCTCTATACATTTCCTTAAAGAATGAGTGGAGAGAATTTGATCAAAGATCAAAGTATTTTCTCTTAGTTGATCATTTAATTAATTCTCATAGCCCCATCTCATGATAATGTATGGGTATCGTTAGGAGAGAATTGCTGTTGGTCACTATTGGGACTTAAAGGGTTAAAGGCTGCATGGGTACTATACATTTTTTATGTGTTTCAGCTCACTCAGTTGTAGAGAGACAGTTAAAAAAAACTTTGTTACTGGTAGATTATCTTAAAGTTCTGTTTTGGATAATGATTTTTTGTAAGAAAAGTTTATGAAGTAACAAAAACTGTAGTTTTTTCAAAGATATGTGCGGTTAGCAGGCAAATATTGTTCATCTTCTTATAATTTTACACAGGTGCACTTGAAGGCACAAACTTCCACAGTGCCTCTTGCTGTTTCTTATTAAATTGATTGTAAAGTATCATAATGAAAGTACATAAATGTAGATGGTACTTGAACCTACTGCAATTACCAAGAATTCATGCTTTAACTTAGACAGAAACCTCACTAAATGCGATACTCACTTTTACACCAGGAACGTAGGCAGCCACAGTAAATGGAGGGGGACCTGGGGACAACTCAAACTCTGAAACACCTTGAAGCCTTAGTTTGGTGGCAATTGAGGCTAGCAGGAAAGGAAAAGAAAAAAGTTATAATGTTAAAAGTTTGTGCTGCAAATAGTCTCAACTTGTTATTTCTTATAAAAGCAAGAGGCATGCTAGGCTTGTTTTTAAATGTCCAGATATTTTTTGCATTATTTCCAGACTTAACTTGAATTTTCCACACTTCATCTGAAACTAAAATTAGCTTTCAAGAATTGGTTTGAGAAAAAGATTGTCTGAAACTTTGAATGGTTATCAATGCTTAACATTAATAAACGTATATGCACCTACATGGTTACTTTTGTTCTTACATTATGTAGGTGTTTTTATCAGTTTTAAAAGTGAACAAATATCAGCAAATAAATATTCTAACACCTACTGAAATCTGCATCATGGAAGCAGTGTACTTCATTGGTGACAGAACGAGCGCACACTGACTCATCATCACTCCACCTGGGCTCCCTGGATGTTATTAAAAAATACATGAATCATTAAATTAATGGATGTGGAACAAAAATGAATGGTAACAGCTATCAGTACTTTTGTACCCTGTTTCACTCTGGTTTAGGCTGATCAAGGTTGTATTTTTTTTTGTAACTGCTTAGCTTGCATACAAAAATGCAGTGATCTTTCTCATTTTCTCTTTTTTGAATATTTCTTCCCTAGTTTAATTTTTATGAAATTAAACATATTCACATTCACCAGTTTTGCAGATCCCATGGGTTCATATCTCACTGAAGCCTGAAATTTTTAGGCTTAATTTTTGAAAATACCTTTTTTTATAAAGTTGTGTTGATAACTGAAATGGTCATTATATTCTTGTGTTAATAATATCAAATGTCACATGTTCACTTTCATAACTGTCTCACATTAGTCTTGAAGTATATCAACTACATACACCATGGTATAGTCATGTGACCCCATGTCATGAAGGAATATCTGGACGGGACAGGTGGTCCCCCCGGAATGGTGGGTCAGTTTATCCCCCAACTCTTGATTAAAACAACACTGAGAGGGGAGCACAAACTACATTAGGTGCTGTGCTGGTTCCTTATTCAGAGTCAAGTCAAAATCCACCTTAGGTTCATAAACTGGTAGTCAATAAAATAATATTAGCACTTGGATTTTTCCATGCACCCTTTATTATAATTATTCATCAAAGTAGTCTTGAAGTGAAACTAGTGCCAACCCACTTTTGAAGGTCCAAGCAAACTTTAAATTGTGGTCTGCTACTACAGATTTTACAGTTTCTTGCCAAGTCATTAAATTAATATGGAACATTGTACTATGAGGTTGAGTAATTAATGACTTGTTATACCAACCATGTATCCTTTTTCTTTTGACAAAATCCAGTGACTAGTCTTGCTGATTGAAGATGCCAGATTTCAAGATTATTTGTTCCAGCAGGTTGATTTGGGGTCACTGATTTCACAAAAAGAGAGCACAAGTAGATTTTAACTGCATTTTGTAATTAAAGTGCTGTACAAAGAGATGAGAACTATCTATTGCCTTTCAGTTAAAAGAATTCCAGCAAGTTCCAGTCTCCAAATCCTTCACTTTAACCAACAGCATTACAATTTTACAAAGGGTCGTAGTTTGTGGATTTTAGGAATTTTGGTAAATTTTCTTGTGGTATTATAGTTTCTTTCATAGTGTTTTTACATGTTTTTATGTGGTGTTACAGTTTTGACCCTGCCACCTCCTTTAAAAAAATGCTGCAGGACAATATTCAAATACAATTACCTCATTAATGATCTAACCTGCATATTGTTCCCATATCGACAGATGAGTGCCTTTTGGTGAAAATGCCAAGCAAAGAGATTTTTCTTTTGGGATACTGCAAACTAGATTGAAATGGGAAGTTTCCACCACTATCACACTGTGGAATAATTTATATAACAAATCAATCAGGAAAACAGAAAGACACTGCGTCTAACTTAATCAGCTGACAAATACATCCTTATGATACTTAGTCCCTTGTTCAAATACTCCTAGTTTAAACAACAAGGTATAACATGAAACTTGAAATACATTGGAACCTCATGGATATAACTCGAACCTTAAGATAACATAAAACTTTATTATTTTAAAGAGCTGCATCGGCTTTTGCGTGAAGATATGCTTTAATTGCACTGACAGGGAGATGCCAAAATGGCAAGTAAAGTAGAAAATTGTCAGACTTATTACAACTTTGATAAAATTGGCAACCGGCTGTAGACTTAAGTGATCATGAACACAAGAAAAGTGAGCATCAACATGACAAAGAACTGCGAAAAATTCCAACTAATGCCAAAAATCATCAGACTTTGATTTTTCGCAATTTTCTCAACTGGCTTTCAAAAAATTGCCAACCTTGTGATTTTTGCGATTTTTTGCAAACACATGAAAAATCCCAATTTTTGCAGCCGCGAGCAAACCTGGACTTAAGCACAATCCTGTAAGCAATAACTAAGCGATGTCAGTGACTGATAATAAATATGATGTTACAATGTTTTGTTTTTATGCATTGATTGATTAATTCAGGGTGTTGTAATCATTGAATTATTGACAGTACTGCTAAGAGCACTCAATAGCTGATATTCACATTCACACATGTGCAAATAAGAAATGATCAATCAGAATGTGCATGTTACTTCAGTTATGATTTTTATAGTATCGTTATTAATTATCATTATCGTTATCATTATTATTATTATTATTATTATTAGTAACTTTTTATCAGTTTGAATTATTATTTTTAAATAGTTTTTATTTTTTTTATAAACTTTTTGATGCTTTTTATAATTGTTATTAGTAGTCTTTAGATAGTCATTTTACGACAATTCTCTTTCGTACACAAGAAGAATGTACATAGGGTATATATTTTAATATTTCATATTCTTGAATCTGTAAATAGTCTATTTTTTTAAATCTATGAATAAAGTTTTGTATCGTTTTTATTAAAAAAAAAAAATTATTATTATTATTATGTAAATAAAGTTTCCATTATTACTGTTGTCCTAGCTATATGTGTCATAAGAACAAAAAAGAATGCAAATTACCGTTCACCATTACACCAAGCAAACAAGGATCCATCGGAGCTAAAAGCCATCACTCTGCATCGTGGATGATTATCACTGAAAAATTGTATTAGTGAAACTTAATCATAACCAATGATTATTATTGTCACAGCTATAAAAACATATCATACAATTAACAATTACCAAGCAGATGACATATACTGATCATGAACTGCTTAACTGCTGTCTACATGTATGTGTGGACCCTGATATGACTCTTGTGGCATGGAAAAGAAACCCACACTGCTTTTTGCTTAGAGTAGGGGGGGGGGGTACATGTAAATCAGGACATAAACCATGCTAGTGATCAACCTCAAGCATGTCCGCACATCAATATAATTTTATGTGTGTCTGTTGCTGTACATCGTTCAGATCAGCTTTCAAGTTGCCCTCTCTATACATTTTTATTTAATTTTGATTTACCTATACCTACAGTAGGTTAATTCTCAAAAGAAAGGGCTGACGGTGATGGTGATATGCATGATGGTGATATTATAGTGATGGACTTTAAAATGCGGTATCACCTAGTCCTGGGAATCTGAACGTTAAGATTTTTAAAGAAACCGAAATATGAACGCTTTAACACACTTTAGCAGTACTTAAACTAAACGCAGCGTTATGGGATTGGCACAGAATCACAAGTGATATGATCACAAACCTTCCAAATCCGTCGTGTTGTTTGAACGAATGGGGGCCGTGAATCATAGATATCCCTTCCGATCCTCGAACTGTAGTAAGACATGAAAGACAACGTGTTTAAAGTTAATGCTCTGTAACCGAAAAAAGGGTATCTAAGGATAAAATCTACAAAAAAATTAAGTAAAATTTCTTTACCAGCAACCGCGGGTGATAAAGCCGCCATTTTGATACAAGAGCGAGTAAAAATTGGGCACGAATTCGGTGTGCCGATTCAAAACGAGGCTATTGGAGCCCAGTTCCTCGTGTGAGTCACGCGATAAGTAAAGGAAGTAGGTATGTGGCAAGCTGAAATGAAAAACAATTTTATTTCAAAAGAAAGATAATGGAGGCTTGCGGACTAGGTATTTTATGTTGCTTAAGACGGTATCATCAACCCAGAACCCCACAGCCAAAAGAGGTCTCCCAAGTCCAGCTAGATACCGGCCAAATGGGTCAGTGAGCAAATTACAACCTGAATTAGTTTGTGTATTTTTCACGCTTACTTATTCATCGCTTCAATAATTTCATACATGCATGTCGGTGTTGGTGTTTACCTGTATGAGAGAGACCGCTCTATATTTCAGGAAATGAGGTCGTTATTGTGAAATCTGGGAAGAGGATCTGCGGATCAGGAGCTGCTTTGGCAAATGCAGCTATCGTTCAAAATAAATGCTACTTTGAAATGAAGATACAATCGGGAGGTAAGCATTAATTGTAAAGAATGATAACAGGGTTTAATTCCTAACTCTTTCTGTCGAGTTTGTACTGTATATGTAAGTATTACATTGACGAGAAAAAGTTTTATGAGTGGTTCGTCACTGACTATTTACACCGAATCAAAAGATTTGAGTAGAAAACCAAGAAACTGTCACTGAATTCCACTTGGCAAGTACCCTTTCACTTAGTTACTATCCACCTACCCGTCCCTTAAGCCAATGCTATTACACTAACTTCTCACTCAAGACAGATTACTGGTTTGGGGGTGGGGTAGGTGGGCAGCTGCCAGAATATTATACAGTTAAACCTCCATCAAACGGCCACCCCCAGGGTACCAGCGAGTTGCCATTTAATGAAGGTTGGCCACCCAGTAGAGGTTTGTCATAAATTAGCGTAATCTTTGGCAGGAACATCACATTATTTAGCAACAAACACAAAATGGAAATGGCATAACTGGAACACAGTCATTCATCACCTTCTATCGCGGACTGTACATGTTTTAAAATAAAGCCAAACTAACTCTATCAAGTGCTTGATTGCCACTAAATAGAGGTAACAGGACTACAGTGGAGAATCTTCGTCAGGATAGCTAAAAGGTGGCCATGGCCTCAAGATGGAGGTGGCCACTTAATAGAGGTCTCATTTACAATGATTTCAATTTTCTGCATTTTTTTTTCGAGACATTGATTACTGGCTGACTGATTAGATGACCCTTTATTGGAGGTTCAACTGTAGAGATGTGACTTGATTTACTATACTCATCCACCCTCTCTGGCTGTTCACTTGACAGGTGCATGGGGGGTAGGACTAGCAACAAAAAAATGTGACTTGAACAAGATACCTTTAGGGAACAATTCTGAGAGCTGGGTTTTAAGATCTGATGGTACTGTCGCACACAATGGAATTGTGAGACACAGGCTCAGAGAAGTGCCAGAGGAAGGAGACATGATAGTAAGTGCCTACCGTATTTATTTGATTAACCGCCCTGGGTGCTTGTTAAATTTTTGGACCTTGAGAGTGGGCGCTTATTCGAGCTGGGCGCTTATTAAATTTTCAACAATTTCATCAAGTGTAGTATGTTTATTTTGCAACAAAACAATAAATAGTAAAAACAAAACGCGAAGATGTAACAAAGCAAGGTTTCTGTAAAATACTCTGAAGAAAACTCCGTCTTCGGAGAAGTCTCTTATTAGTACTTATTCAATTTTTGGGGGGTGTGAGGGGAAAGGGGGTGGGGTGGGGGTGGGCGCTTATTCGAGGCTGGGCGCTTATTAACTTTTTCTGCCTTTAGGATGGGCGCTTATTCGGGGTGGGCGCTAATTCGAGGTTGGGCGGTTTTTTGCATTAATACGGTAGTACCATCTTCCTAATTGACTGTGACAGTTACATTGTACATGTACCGTTTTAGTGCATTTGCCATTATGACATTCATACCAAATTGTTGGAGAATCTAATATACAGAAACATTCCCATTCAGATGTATGCAGGGAATATATGTTGTGGTTCAATTTTGTCCTTGCTTTAAATATTATTTTCCTTTGGTTTTGGTTTGGTAATATATACGATGAGTTTGAATCAAAGGAAAATAAAATTTGAACCAAGGATAAAACTGAACCACGACATATTCTTGTCAAATTTGGATCCTCCCCCTTAAAAATCGTCTTAGAAGGGTACAGAGGGGGAGCTTTGAGATGAGTTTTAATCAAAGGAAAATAAAATTTGAACCAAAGATAAAACTGAACCACAACATATTCTTGTCAAATCTGGATCCTCCCCCTTAAAAATCATCTTAGAAGGGTACAGATGGGGAGATTAGAGACCAGGCCCGGATCCACACCGGTTTCCACCGTTTTATGGAAATCGGTCAGATTTTTCGTAAGAAACTTATTTTTAATAATAAGAACTTTCCAAGTTGAATTCTGGAAAATGGTCTGGACAAATGTTTTCTTTTTCCAGTTTCTGGGAATTTGATGCCCTTCTCCCCCCCCAATGAATCAGAAACCCGGGAAAGCGAACTTTAGGTAGCTAGTATCCAAAAAAATTCCCGGGGTTCCATGTTCCCGGGCTCCCCTAGAAGCTTGCTCTCTCGGCCCCTTGTTTGGGAAATCGGTCAGTATTTATCCTAGATCCACGCCTGGAGACCACATTATAGTGTATATATATACTGTCACTAACAGCCTAACATGATTTCTGGCTAGAACCTAAGATCTTCCTAGGGGTTTATTTAATTCCCACCCTTCTAATTGAACTTACCTGACAACTAGAAATCGTGGTGACAGCCTTGCTGAAATGGTGAATAATGATCTGATGACAATAGGAATTCACTTCTACTATGTTAAGAAATATGATCAAACTCTTATCTTTTTGTTTTCTTTCTAGGCTTGCACCTATGACCATGTTGAACTGAATTTCTACCTCAATGGAAAACACTTGCATTGTCCTCTGACAGGAATGAAGGGAACAGTTTACCCAGTTTTTTATGGTTGGTAGAATTCCAATTTGAGGATGAATAAATCTTTCAATTTCTTGTATTTCCTCAGGCCTACACCCCCACGTGAAAAGTATGGGGAAATGTATGTCAGGGTCATCCAGACCCTTCGATAAGGGGGGGCCCAGTCTCCAAAACAAATTTTTTTGGCCCTTCAGGCTTCAGTTTGGTCTAAAAATAAGGTGGGATATCGGGGGGCGGGCCCCCCAGGCCCCTCCCCTGGATCCGCCTCTGATTGCCAGGAAAGGCCTATAACGAACAGCCACTTATGCCATTCTGTGTGCATCCATTTTGTTGATTTAATAGTCCTAACACTGTATGCCTGTCTCTTCCTCACGTATGCTGAGTTATACTCAAAATAATCATCTGGGATTTGTTGGTTTGTTTTACTGTGACAATAGATGGATCAGGTGACCATAACATTGTGACTTAATTGACCAATCAGGACAATAACCAGAGTTTAATACCATGAACTAAACTCACTTTGACTCTAAAGACGATTACTGCGCCGGTTGTCTAAACATCAGTCACTGACATCAACAGCCATATTCAAGACTAGGTTCACCTGGATGATCGTGCTAAAGCTACTTATGGATTTGTTTTTGTTTCTTTCAGTTGATGATGGATCAATCATTGATGTTAATTTCACAGATTTTGTCTATCATGCTCCAGAAGGATTTCAGAAGATTATGTTTGAGAAAAATCTTTTATGATCAATATTGTGAAAATTAGGATTTTTTAATAATTAATATTATATATTAATATTATTAGTAATGGTAACAGGACTGAGGGGAGTCCAATTTGGTCTGTTATCATACAAGTGATTAACAAAATCGGACGAACGCGTACCTGGAGTCCGATTTGTTTAGTCACGAGTATGATTACAGGCCGAATTGAACGACACAAAGTTCTGTTACCAATTAATCATTACTTTAACAACATTTGTGATACATAGGCTATTTTTTAAATCAAAACACAAGAAATTCAAAATTTTGTTTTGCTAGCAGTGAAAAAAAAAGCCATTTAAGCACGCGCATGATGGCGTGTACTGTCCAATTACTTAGACATGACATGTACTGTCCTATTAAACTGTCCAATTAAGGCTGAAATCAGGACAGTTGATAGCCAATCAGATTTGACAATTTTGTTATAGTTATGATTATATAGTGAAATCTCCTTATTATGAATGTTCCCATTATTAGAGAGGTTAAGCATCATGCTTACGTCAAATGGCAAATGTGAATTTGTACCATGTGACCAAGTTTCCCCTTTACTTGTTGTTTACTCTTCATTATTTCTACAATTTTTTCTATTTTGAGAAATTTTCAACTTATATCTGCCATTTGCCATTTGCCATATATGTGAAGCTTAATCTCTCTATTATTTTTTTACTCCTACAAACCATGATTTCCAACAACAGTGTAGGTGTTCATACTAAAAGATGATTGAATTAGTTTGTAATACTTTGGGACCCAAAAAAGCCACTGTATTGACTTAATGAACCAGGAAACATACAAATTTATTCCCTTTAGATTATTCATAATCAATGAATTTTTGCGGCACTAGAGCAGTATAATGTTGGAGAAGTATAACTTAAGGGTGGATCTAATTGATCTTATTCTACAATAGATTATCACTAAAAGATTGTTGCAAATCACTTTATCACCAGTGAAATGCAACATTTGTACAATATTAAATAAGAAATAGTGGTGACCAGTGGTAGGCTCAATCGACCAATTTCAATATATTAAAATTATACTTAGCTCCAAGGCTTGGGGGAATAAAACAAAAGAAATGTAGTATTCATTGAATGTAGTATTCATTCAAGTACGAATTTTAATATATAGAAACTGGTGTATTACCATCCACTGTTCAAGAAAATGAGCCTGCATTCCTCCCCATTTAAGAGTCTCTCTTTGGAAAAGATCAAAGACCAGACTCGAAATAAAGGTGGAAATGGAGCCTTAGACAATAAATAACTATAATTTTTAAAAAAATAATCATGTAACCTATTGTTAAATGGTATTATCATGTGTTATAAATCCATACTTAACTAGAAGATTCTGTATGAAATCCTCTAGCCGTTTCTTAAAACAAAAAATTGTAACAATATGAAACAGTGATGAGGAATATTTTGGTTTCAATAAAGACTATGATATAGGTGACTCAGAAAGCAAAATTTTGGAAATCAATTAAATTAGCAATAATAATAACAAAAAAAATAATGATAAAGTTAAGGAGGATAACACTCTTAATACTGTAGCCTGGTTTAAGTGTTCTTCTTGATTTCACAAATTTCCCTCACTTGACTCTGGCGGGCTACCCTTCTTAGCAACATGCAACCTCGTTCCTAGGGTTCTCTCCTACCTGCCGGGGTAGGGCGGGTAGGAGAAAACACTGGGAACGAGGTTGAAGAACAAGCTTATACTTTACATAAATTAATTGTTTAACCAAGGAAGGGTCATCACTCACTAACAGTTTTTTCTTGTTCTTAGAAGTACGTAAGTTCTGCAAATAATATTCAGCCCTACCAGATTCTCCCAATAAAGAAATTTAAGTGTATGAAAAGTGAACCTCAAGCTGTGAAAGAATCCATTGCCAGAGTCGTGTGAATCTTACAAGCATAATCCATCTTATTTTGTTTTGAGAAATTAGTATCCAAATAAACTGTCTTAATGGATCGCCATTGAGATTAACTGTTGGGTAAGCTGAAAAAGGAAACATGATGTTTGAAGAATTTGATCGTTTATCAGGAACGATGATTGCATTAGCAGTAGTCTTTTATAGTAACAAAAATGTTTTCGTCCCATGGAGTAAATAAATGCCAGAGCCATGCTGTAGACAATTTTTTTTTTAATTTAAGATTTTTTTCAGCATACTTAGTACAAATAGATAGTCCTAACAAAGGACACAAATATAAGAAATGCTCTACTACTACTCTATTCTGAGGTCGCATAAATGCCCAAATACAATCAAGGCTTTTATTTTAGAAATAATGGAGAAAAACATTTTGCTCAACGTTTCGATATCGCAACAATAATAAAATACAAAAGTATAATACCATCAACTGACAGAGTACCATCAGAGTATAATACCATCAACTGACGTGATACAACTCACTTTGACTCTGAAGCCGACTACCGCACAGGATGCCGAAACGTCAGTCACTGTCAACAACAACAGTCCTATTCAGGACTACGTTCACCCGGACTCAAACTCAACCTACTTTTGAAATGACTCCTGGGTTCAAACCTTTCTCAAAATAAAAAATATTGCCAATATTATTTTCTAACTTGAAAATGTTGTCGGGGCGACATCGAAACGTCACGTTCTATTTTTAGCTTTACAAACAACGTATCAGCAACTTATTTATATTGACGTTTTTATACCCGATCTCAAAACGCCGGGAGATAATATGTGACCCCAGGTGACTGTGATACAGAGTGTGGACAATCTGAAATTTCCTTGTCTTGCCAGAACAGATGTTTTATCTTCACCTTTAGTATGAGGGATATTTCCCAGCGCAAAAAAATACTGTATACTAGACTGAGGAAGTAATGTACTTCATTAGCAAAACATAACCAAAGCGAAAAATGTATTACACGTCGACAATACACTTTCACCGTGTAAAACACGTCAGGTACATATTGCAACAGAGATGTAACGCCCCTGAGCCGGAGACGCCAACAGAAACCTTCTTGCTCTTCGCTATCATTTAACTTCAAACATTGTCTTAGATTTATACTTTTTTGATTCATGTTTTTTATATTATTATCATTTCAATTTTATTTTGTTTTAAAAGATTAGTGACTAGAATTTCTTTTTTGAGACACTGCTCAGCTTGACCCAGATTTTAAAACTGCGATTTAAACCTTTTTTATATTCCTACACAGCACAAATCACAGATAGCTATGTCAGCTTATACAGTCGACTCTCTCTTAACGGACACCTCTGTAAAACGGACACTTAGAATTGGTCCCTGCCTTTCTTTACTCCCTTTATTTGACTCTCTATACGGCGGACACCTCTCTAAAACGGACACTTAGTGCCGGTACCAAAGGTGTCCGTCTTAGAGAGAGTTGACTGTAGCTAGCTAGATTTTTGTTCAGCTAGATTTTTTCTCATCTACGCTTAATACATTCTTAAACACCACTGCATTACCTAAGGTGAATATACTTGGTGGAAAACTACGTACATACACAATATGCTGAGAGTGCTTCTAGGCAAAGCGTACTGCATAGATTTAAAAAGAGCGCTGGACAGAGTGATTAGCTAGGGTTGCCACAAAGCCATGCCGATTGATATCAAAATCGTTCGTCAGTGACTGGTCATCGGTCTCATATACAGTTTACTGTTTATCCAGTTTATTTGTCTCTATCCGTCCATGTAGGGGGAATTCTCATACCACCAGCCAATCAAAGCTCCAAAGAGATGCCCCAAACCTGCTCCTATTGCACCGCCCACCAAGCTCGCTATCGGGGCAGCTGCTGGGCATACCGCTGTGCCGATGCATGATCCGACGATTCCAAAGCCCAAACGACAAGCTGCCTTGGCAACAATGTCAACGAACTTGACTTTAAACTCTTCGATAGTCTTACAATAGGTGTATGCTTTGTAGATCTCATGACCTGCTAGGCCAGCTTCCATGAGGATTGCTAACCCATATCCCACATAGAGGGCATTTTCATTGATGAAAACGGCCAGCTCGTCGGAAACATTAGCCTGGAGCTTGATAAGTAGGGGTAGTACTTTCTCTTTGGTTATATTTCTACCAAAGTCATACAGGCCTGTGAAAGCAGAATAGGCGACTTCTCGTGCTGTAAGGTACCATTGTTCTATTTGAAGGCTTACTTTCAGCCCACACATGCTCCAAGTTACAAAATGCTCACAGTTGTTCTTTAGAATGTCATACCAGTTTTCACCCAATCTGGTGAAAGCTCTCTTGATCACTTCCTCCGCGGAAAAGCGTTTTAATTGAGCTGGCCAGATGATCTTTTTGACCTGTAAGAGTAAGAAAAACATTTAATAATACACACTATATGCCGGAATTTCTAAGTCTTGAACTGCTGAGTGGAGTATTCCAATACTATTCAAAATCTCTACAGAAATTCTAATTTTATCGTGACTCTTTCAAGACTACACGCTTGCTTTGTCTCCAAAACATTATGCATTTTGATTTGTTCTGCGACCAGTTCTGCGTAAAAAAAAAAATAACGATTTCAAGAATTTTGTCAACGCAGAAGTAGCATCAAACATGATAGAAAGTGAAATTGAAAATCCAAATTTAAACAAATTCAAGGGCAATGGAGATTGGAAAGTGTGATTCCGATCTTTTCATGCTCGCCCTTTTTTGCCTCAGTAGTTTAATACCTGATTATTTATCAATTCGAGTACACGATTTGTGTTACAATATACTGATAAAGTACGGTAAAATTCCTAAAATAAAACCCTCCGATAAAACAAGCCCCCGGGGCTTGTACTCGGAAATTGCCCTCAAATTCAAAATAAAACACAGAAAAATTGACAGTGACACAAAAATTTTATTACGTGTGCCAAATGATTGCAGTCAAAAAGTGTCACAGTATATTGCTGTTTGCGTACCGTTATTCGATTAACCGCCCTGGGCACTTATTAAATTTTTGGACCTTGAGAGTGGGCGCTAATTCGAGGTGGGCACTTATTTGGGGCTGGGCGCTTATTAAATTTTCAACATTTTCAGCAAGAGTAGTATGTTTATTTTGCACAAAACAATAAATGGTAATAACAAAATGCGAAGAGGTAACAAAGCAAGGTTCCTGTTAAATACCTTGAAGAAAACTCCATCTTTGGGAAGTCCCTTATTAGTACTTATTCAATTTTTTGGGAGTGGGATGGGGGTGGTCGCTTATTTAAGTTTGAGTGGGGGGGGGGGGGGGGTGGGCGCTTATTCGAGGCTGGGCACTTATTAACTTTTCCTGCCTTTAGGATGGGCGCTTATTTGAGGTGGGAGCTAATTCGAGGTTGGGCGCTTATTCGAATAAATACGGTAGTTCACTCCTCAGACTTGGCTTGGATTTCTTTGGTCCATTTAGACGAAGTACTTATATGGCTGAGTTTTAGAAAGATCTACGTGAGTTTCAGTAAAACCAAGATAAATGTCCCTCCAACTATGAGCTAACCCAATGGATTTTGAGACGCATATAAGCCTAGCCGACTATAAAACGCAAATTTCCACCCGTATATTAGATGAGGTTTTATTTTCTTTCTCTAGTCTTCAGACGCGGGCCGGAGATTGACACACGAACTCTGAACACGACCACAAAAATGTAAAATAAGATCTCTAACTTCGCGACTGAAGTAGTATTACGCGCGCGCCTAAGATATTTTTGTGTTAAAAGGTTTTATCTCTACTGAGTACGTACCTGTTGTTCCACAAGTTTCTCAGATGAAAACATTTTTTCTTCTATTTCGCCCTTGACTCCAACATCTTTGAAAGACGTGCATCTCGACGCTCTACTGATACCCCAAGCAGGTCCACTGTAGTGTATTACGATAACGTGGTTATCTCCGCTGAAGGTACACAGCATATGATGAACATAATATTTTCTTTCAAGAACGAGATGGTCACCTGCTTGAATGCCGTCTGAATTTTCGACAAGGACTTTCTTAAAGTCTTCTCTGTATCTCTCCATAAATTCTTGCTGCTTTGCCATCGAGCCCTGTTCGTACTTTCGCCATTTTTCACGAGAAGGGACTGAAAACGCAGGCGGCATGTTGAAAGCGTCTACCTAGATGTTTCCTTCTCGCCGATAATATATTTTTTTGAAAGCAAAGGTTATTAGGCCAGGGTTTTTCCCCCGAAATAAAATTGAATGTTTTGTAATAGTAGCATCTTGGGAATTCCCCTACCTTGTGTATTTAATAGTCATGCAATTAACAACTAAAAATACTATTGGATATTGGAACCTATCAGTGAAGCGTTGAGCGTTTACCTCTAAGTTTGCGATCACGAAAGGAATCGATTCGTCGCAAAGCGAGTAATTTATCAGACTGAACAAAAAACGCGCCATTTTCTAAGCAAGACAGTAGGAACAATTCGGCATATTAATAAGATAAAACATCCTCGGAGTAATACATGGATAAAAGTAAAGCGAGAAACGTCGCCTATATAAAGGATCATAAGGCCTCCGCTAACAAACAGAGTTTTCTTAATTGACATGAAAGACTGACATTACTATTAATTACTCATCCTTTCTTGTTGCTTAGAATTTTTTTGTTGCAAGAAGCCGGAAGGATAAAAAAAAAACACCTCGCATATTGACTTAAAGAAAACTAAGAGCTGATCAGGAAAGTTTATTTTCTCAATATTATTTTGAAAGGCTTAATCGTCTTGACGTTAATATTACCTTGCCCAGCCGGTATTGACATCAGTAGTTCTACAAGGAAGATTCTGATTGCCTCAGCTCTATCAAGTTAAAATCAACATCAAAGGGAGAAAATTTATATGCTGCCCAAGCCGCCATGCAAATCGTCTTCTACACCGTATGCAGATTGGTGTTTCTCGAGGGGAGGTTTTGGGCCGGTCGATTATGTTGTATTTTTAGAATCTCCGTTGACGATAGCACTCGCTAAAATCGATAACATTCGATAGGGAAGGCGGATCGAGAAAGGTTGCGCTAAAACCGCTAAGGGGCTTCTCTCTTCCCGCCTTACAGTGAATTGACTGAGAGCCTGGCAGAGGCTATTCTAGAACTAAATCTAAGTTAGACTTGAGCCCAGTTTTGCGTAGAAAACAACTTGAATCTGTATCCTGAAAATGATTTCAGTTGCCTTATGGATGAGTGCTAAAATTTAAAAATACAGGAAACTCCCGCCCCTCCCATTTTTTTTAGCCTGTACACAGACGCTGTATTATTTTTATTTTCCTTCTTTTTCGTTCTCTTTCTTTTCCCCCTTGCGCTGGCAGTCAATGAATCCCCCGCGGTTTTTATTTTTTATCTCGCGCGCTCGACTGACTTTGAAGAAAATAGAGGGTCTGTGAACAGGCTATTAACAGTCTAGTCTTTTGTCTCCTGGGTTAAAACCCACAGCGAGAGGTCGAAACATTGCACTCTATGTTAGTAATCAAAAGTGGAAGATCATTTCATTCCGTGCAGGTGTTAAGATGCAAACAAATTTTTAAAATTGTCGACTTGCACAAAAGAAGCTTCATTTGTGAGCACGAAAGTGATTTTAATCAAACTTTTCACATACAGGATTCTTTTTTACATCATTTCCATTATAAATTATGAAAAGTATTACAATTAATAAAATTTTCAAATTAATCACCAGTCAAACAGGCATCCAATAATCTTGCTTCTTCTCCTGCGAATTCTCGTTTTGTCGGGATAGTTGAAAAAGAATCCACAAAGAAACTTGCCCAACGAATGAAGAAGTTTCTTTCACCCCAGCAATTTAAGCTCAGCAAGGCAGATTTGGCTCCTCAGAAAGAAATTTCCGAGTCCCCTGAAGACGAAACACAGAGCGACGTGGAGAAGCTCCAGGTACCCATCAGCGACCATTCTGTCGGACGCGCTACAGATGAACTCGGTGAACCAGCCAAACGACTGGAGAAGAAGTTTTCCTCTCTAGAATCAAAGCTTAGTTTGTCGAACCTTTTCTCTAACAAAAAGTCAGTTTTCAACAAGGCAGTTGACCCAGGCGAGTCAGACTCCAAACAACCGAACGACCAGTAGTCCATCGTCGGCTCCTCGGGGAAAGTCGGAAAAACGTCTTTGTCGACAAACAGCGACGAGGGCTAGGAAAGTGCTATAACTAACAGACACTTATGCCATTCTGTGTGCATCCATTTGTATACCTGCCAACTCTCACGCCTTAGGCGTGAGTCTCATGCCTGCTGGTTGAAAACTTCGATCTCACGCTCGCTCACGCCTGCGGACCAATTTCTCACGCCTGATTGAAAAATGTGAGTTGTTGCAATTGCCGTCTTGCTTGACACAATTTCCAAAAATATGTTAACTCAGACCCATGTAAGGAACGAAAACCATGTGTAAAATGAATAAATGACAATACCTTCCTCGCGATCTCTGATTTTGTGGATAAGCGTTTTCTCGATAACCTCGCCTTCGCCAGACTTCGGACGTCTTCGGGAATCTTCGGAAATGATCGTGTCGTTTTCAAAAATCCCAGCACTCCCAGGATAAAAATCTCACGCCTGCATCTCAGAAAAAGTTGGCAGGTATACATTTGTCGATTTAATAGTCCTAACACTGTATGTCTGTCTCTTCCTCACGTATGCTGAGTTATAATACTCAAAATAATCATCTGGGATTTGTTTTAGTGAAAGGTTTGTTTTACTGTGACAATGGATGGATCGAAACGCATCAATGACATGTTGAGTCTTCATAGCCAATAACATCATGGCTTAACCGACAGATGACCAATAAAATTGTGACTTAATTGACCAATCAGTTTAATAATCAGAGTTTAATACCATCAACTAACGTGATACAACTCACTTTGACTAGGAAGATGATTACTGCACAGGTTGTCTAAATGTCAGTCACCAACATCAACAGTCTTATTCAAGACTTAAGATCATACCAAAGCTACTTATGGATTTGTTTTTGTTTCTTTCAGTTGATGATGGATCAATCATTGATGTTAATTTCACAGATTTTGTCTATCATGCTCCAGAAGGATTTCAGAAGATTATGTTTGAGAAAAATCTTTTATGATCAATATTGTGAAAAATAGGATTTTTTAATAATTAATATTATATATTAATATTATTGTATTGTGAAACCTCATTATTATGAATGTTCCCATAATTAGAGGGGTTAAGCATCACGCTTACGCCAAATGGCAAAAGCAAATTTGTACCATCTGACCAAGTTTCCCCTTTACTTGTTTTTTACTGTTTATTATTTCAACGCATAAATTAGTAGTTTCATGCAATTTTTTATCCATAAGAATTGTTTTGAGCTGTTTTTATCTGCTCATTTTCTATTTTGAGAATTTCAGCTTGAATCTGCCATTTGCCGTTTGCCGTATACATGAAGCTTAATCTCTCTATTATTTTCTTACTCCTACAAACCATGATTTCCAACAACAGTGTAGGTGTTCATACTAAAAGATGTTAAATCTATAAATGATTGAATTAGTTTGTAATACTTTGGGACCCCAAATAGCCACTGTATTGACTTAATAAACCAGGAGACATACAAATTTATTCCCTTTAGATTATTCATTTGAATTTTTGCGGTAGTAGAGCAGTATAATGTTAGAGAATGTGTAACTTAAGGGTGGATCTAATTGATCTTATTCTACAATAGATTATCACTGAAAGATTGTTACAAATCACTTTGTCACCAGTGAAATGCAACATTTGTACATAAATAAGAAATAGTGGTGACCAATGGTAGGCTCAACCGACCAATTTCAATATATTAAAATTATACTTAGCTCCAAGGCTTGGGGGAATAAAACAAAAGAAATGTAGTATTCATTCAAGTACGAATTTTAATATATAGAAACTGGTCTCTTACCAGCCACTGTTCGAGAAAATGAGCCTACATTCCTCCCCATTTAAGAGTCTCTCTTTGGAAAAGATCAAAGACCAGACTCGAAATAAAGGTGGAAAGAGATCCTTAAACAATAAATAACTATAATTTGTAAAAAATAATCATATAACCTATTGTTAAATGGTATTATCATGTGTTATAAATCCATACTTAACTAGAAGATTCTGTATGAAATCCTCTAGCCGTTTCTTAAAACAAAAAATTTTAACAATATGAAACAGTGATGAGGAATATTTTGGTTTCAATAAATACTACGATATAGGTGACTCGGAAAGCGAAATTTTGGAAATCAATTAAGTTAGCAATAATAATAACAACAAAATTTCCCTCAGACTCAGGCGAGCTACCCTTCTCAAGAACTTGCTTATACTTTACATATTAATTCTTTAAGGGAGGGTCATCACTCACTAAAAGTTTTTTCTTGTTCTTAGAAGTACATTAGTTCTGCAAATAGTATTTAGCCCTACCAGATTCTCCCTATAAAGAAATTTAAGTGTATGAAAAGTGAACCTCAAGCTATGAAAGAATCCATTGCCAGAGTCGTGTGAATCTTACAAGCATATTCCATCTTATTTTCTTTCAAGAGATTAGTATCCAAATAAATTTTCTTAAAGAATCACCATTGAGGTTAACTGTTGGGTATACATTTTCGGGTAGCAAAAGTAAGTAAACCTAGAAAAAGGGAACATGATGTTTGGAGAATTTGATCGTTTATCAGGAATGACGTTTGCAGTGGACTTTTATAGTAACAAAAATGTTTTCGTCCCATGGAGTAAGTAATTACCAGAGCCACGCTGTAGACAATTTTTTTTTTTAATGTCAGATTGTTTCAGAGTACTTAGTGCACATAGACAGTCCTAACAAAGGACAGGAATAACGCTCTACTACTCTATTCTTAGGTCGCATAAGCGCCGAAATACAATCAAGGCTTTTTTGTTTTTAAGAAATAATAGCGAAAGACATTTTGCTCAAAATTTCCATATGGCAATAACAACAAAATAAAAAATATTGCCAATATTATTTTGTAACTTGAAAATGTTGTCGGGGCGACATCGAAACGTCACGCTCTATTTTTAGCTTTACAATCAGCAACTTATTTACATTGGCATTTTTGCAACCGATCTTAAAAATCCCGCAGATAATATGTGACCCCAGGTCACTGTGATATAGAGCGTGGACAATCTGAAATTTCCTTATCTTACCAGAACAGATGTTTTATCTTCACCTTTCGTACGCGGGATATTTCCCATCGCAAAAAAATACTTGCCTGCGTGCAGATGTCTCCTATTTCCTTTGTTGCACGCGGAAAAGGGACAGTCGCACATGTTTTGATTTGTTTTGGTTGGAAAACCCCGCTTACTTGCCTGCGTGCAGACGTCTCCGATTGCAAACAAAGGAAATAGGAGACGTCTGCACGCAGGCAACCCGCTTACATAAATCATTTAAATCACCGCATACATTATCAGACCACATTCGATAACAACCAATCAGCGTTAAGTCAAACAATGCGCACTGTGTGTCAGCCTATCACAGCGTGTTCCCAAGATCTTGGGAACCCAGCGGAACGCTGGAACACGATTAGCGACGGCGTTACGCAGACGTCCCTTTCCCGCGTGTAACAAAGGAAATAGGAGACGTCTGCACGCAGGCAAAAAAATACTAGACTGAGGAAGTAATGTACTTCATTAGCAAAACATAACAAAAGCGAAAAATGTGCGCGTCGATAATACATACACGTTAGGTGCATAACAATCCCCTCCATTTATACTTTTTCGATTCATGCTTTTTATATCTTCTGAGGGAAGCGTACTGCATAGATTTATAAAGAGCGCTGGACAGAGTGATTAGCTGTTACAACGAAGCCATACCGATTCATATCAAAATCGTTCGTCAATTACTGGTCATCGGTCTCCAGTGTTTATCCAGTTCATTTGTCTCTATCCGTCCATGTAGTGGGAATTCTCATACCGCCAGCCAATAAAAGCTCCAATGAGATGCCCCAAACCTGCTCCTATTGCACCGCCCACCAAGCTCGCTATTGGGGCAGCTGCTGGGCATACCGCTGTGCCGATGCATGATCCGACGATTCCAAAGCCCAAACGACAAGCTGCCTTGGCAACAATGTCAACGAACTTGACTTCAAACTCTTCCGCAGTCTTGCAATAAGTGCATGCTTTGTAAATCTCATACCCGGCTAGGCCAACTTCCATGAGGATTGCTAACCCATATCCCACATAGAGGGCATTTTTACCAATGAAAGCCGCCACCTCGTCGGAAACATTAGCCAGGAGTTTGATAAGTAGAGGTAGAACTTTCTCTTTAGTTTTATTTCTACCAAAGTCATACAGGCCCGTGAAAGCAGAATAGGCGACTTCTCGGGCTGTAAGGTACCATTGTTCTATTTGAAGGCTCACCTTGAGCCCACACATGCTCCAAGTTACGAAATGCTCACAGTTGTTCTTTAGAAAATCGTACCAGTTTTCACCCAGCCTGGTGAAAGCTCTCTTGATCACTTCCTCCACAGAAAAACGTTTTAATTGAGCTGGCCAGATGACCTTTTTTACCTGTAAGAGTATGAAAAACGTTAAATATACAGTGTCGGAATAATTCTTGAACTGCGGAGTCAAGAATAAGATGTTATTTAAAATCTCTTTAGTAATTCGAACTTAATCCTTAAGTTTTTATTGCGACTCTTTTCAGACTGCACTCAAGCTTTGTCTCCAAAACATTATGTATTTTAATTCGTTCTTCGACCAGTTCTGCGTGAAAAAAGGACGATTTCAAAGATTTTGTCAACCCGGAAGTAGCATCAACATAACGGAAAGCCAAGTGAAAATCGAAATTGAAACAAATTCAAGCCTGAAATGGACATTGAAAATTGTAATTCCGATCTTGTCGTGCTCGCTGTATTTGTTCCTCAGTCGTTATCAATTCGAGTACACGATTTATGGTGCGATACACTAATAAAGTAGTTTTAATTTTTGCCGTCGAAATGTTTTCATGAACGGTTTATCGAACGAAACTTCAGCATTCAGTTTCAGTGTTCGTTGTTAAAATACCATTTAGTTTATTTATCTAATAAACACTTTCATTAGGTCAAAACACCACAAAGTAAGCGACTTGCGACTTAGAAATTCAAGTGATACAGATTTATTTTCATTTCTTTCTTCAAACGGGGCCGGAGATTGATCTGACTCTTTAAACACCGCAAAAATGACGAAACGATCTTTAACTTCGCAAGTAGCAAAGGTGGCAGGTAGAGATTTTTGTATCAAGGTTGTTTCTTTAATACATACCTGCTGTTTCAGAAGTTCCTCGAATGAAAACATTGTTTCTTTTACTTCGGCCTTGATTCCAACATCTTTAAACGAGATGCTTCTTAGACCTCTACTGGCACCCAAAGATGGGGCAGTGTAGTGAATTACCAAAACATGGTTATCTCCGCTGAAGGTACACAGCATATGATGATCATAATGCAGGAGATAATAGTTTCTCTCAAAAACGAGATGATCACCGGCTTTAATGCTGTCTGAATTTGTGATAGGGACTTTGTCAAAGTCATCTCTGTATCTTTCTATGAATTCTTGCTGCTTTGCCATCGAACGCCGTTCGTACTTTTGCCATTCCTCGCGAGAAGGGTCTGATAGAGCGGGCAGCATTTTGAAAGCGTCTGCCTAGATAGTTACTTTTCGCCGATAATTATATGTTTTTAAAGGCATTTTTCCCCGATAAAAGTGAGTGTTTTGTATTATAAATAGTATTTGGGATTTCCCCACTCTCACCCTTGCTTGTCAACAACTTGTGATATTGGAATTTTACCAAAGTGGCATTGAGCGTCTGCTTTGCCTTCCGCCCTGCTTTAACATCTTTTCATCTTTTCTCTACAAAGGACTCGATTCGTCGCTGACCGCAAAAAATTTACGCGACTAAACAAAATTCAAGGAAAGACTATCGTCAACTCGTGGGAACGATACCAAGAGCACTCATCGAGAATATAGTTCAAAACCACTTAAACATGGCATTGTTGAAAGTATTTTAGTATCTAAAAGGTAGATATAGGCATATTTTTATCCCCTAAAAATTTTTCATCTGTTCGTATGTCCTAGCTGAAAGTCTAGTGATCAGAAAATTATAGGGATCAAAACTTACCTTTTCGAAAATTTCAGCCAGAATAAAGGCTTCAGAAAATTCTAGGTGACCTTTTTAGGGTAAACATCCGTTCAAAATGAGCAATTATACCATTTTTTAGATGTTCGAAAATTCTAGGAGAGGTAGGCAAGCAAGAAATTTTACAACAAATGTTCCAAAAATTCTAGACCTCAAATCGTCTTCCGAACAGATATTTTCCGAAATTTGACGTTGAGTGCTCCTGACGTTGTTTAGAAAAACAGTAATCAAATGGTTATCAAGCTCTGGTTTTCCCACAGTAAACTGTAGGAAATGATAGAAATTCAGTTCAGATCGTTTATCCATCTGGAAACACAATACTTTTCGTCCGGTTTATTGCACTTAACTTGCGATAACAGTTATTTAGGTTATTTATAGAAAAAACAACAAACAGAAATACGCTACTAAGGCTAATTACCATAACTCTGGGGAAAAGTCTTTAGGGACGGACCATTAGAAAAGTTATGGGGAGGGGGGGTGTGGAATTTTTGAGCCGCAGGAAATTTTTTTCGTTATCAAATTCATTGTATGAATTTTTTTTAGGCCATAGCATGAATATTTTTTAGTATTAATTGTTTAGTATTAATTTTTTTTTCATTTAATTTTCCTTTGCGTGAATATTTTTTTTGTACTTCGCCCCCCACCCCCAAAAAATAAGTTTTTTAATGGTCCGTCCCTTACTTTATGCCTTTTTCACCTTTTCAACTTCCGCCGGCAAACGCCGTTTAAAGATGATCGAGCTATTGACAGTTTAAAAGAAAACAAACAAGCAAACAAAAAATTTCAACGCATTTCATGGCAATGAAGGAACACACGCTTTACAAAGCCGATAAGGCTCGTCTGTGAAGTAGGACGGAAAACATACTTTTTGAGTCGAAGAGCAAATGTTCATCTTCTCGTCAAGTTTAATGCCTGGACAAGGCAAAGGCTCTATAGGGTCTTTTGAAATCTAGACTGTTCAAAGTCCCCTGTTTTTGCGTGAGATCGTCGAGATATAGCGTGTCTTACAATAAATGGTAGCTTCTCTGACTTTCATTTTTCGTACGGGGAATCCGAGGGGGCGGGCGTCGGGAAGGCGTCGTCGGGGATTATAGCTCCCT